AATTTTGGGTGGTAAGGCCCTGGCACAGGCTGCCCAGAGAAGCTGTGGCTGCCTCAACTCAAGGCCAGGTTGGATGGGCCATGGGCATCCTGAGCTGGTGGGTGGCAACTCTGCCCACAACAGAGGGTTGGAGCTCAATGATCTTTAAGGTCCTTTTCAACCTAAACTGGGAGTGATCCTGGAGAGGTAGGGTGGTACACAAGAAACATGCAGCCATGGAAGAGCTTGTGCTGACCTGCATCATTCCATCCTGATGTTAGGAGGATGTGGAGATTCACTGCTCCTGCTGGCCAAATCAGACCAACGTGGAAATCAGCTCCCCGCCACACAGCACACCTGTGTGATGAATAGGGCTTTCTCCACATTTGCCAACATTTCCACCCAACCCTGCTGTTGCTGCTGAGCTGTCATTTCTGCTCTCTACCTGGCACAGTGCACCTGAGGACAGCAAGCAACACCCCAAGAAGTTTTCCAAGAGTACTGAGAGGGGTGCAATGAGATCAGATTGTCCCATAAATCAATCCAAACTGTACAGGGTAGCACAGGGGGAGAAATTCTAGAAGACTAGCTGGGTTTACTCTGGTTACATTCCAGTCAATCATTTTGTCCCCTAGGATAAGGCACAGTTCCTGTGTAGAGGAGCAGGAGTGCCACAGGTCAAGAGATAAGTCCTGGGGCAGCAGTTCAGCAGGCTGGGAAAGGAGAGCTGAGAAAGAGAGAATTACACTCTTAGGGGCAGGTACTAAGAGTGGAAGAAAAAAGTTTTGTCTGTTTTTTTTTTCCTTTTTTCTTTTTCTCTGAAGAATAACAGGGATGCTGTTTTCCACCACACTTCCATCACACCATGGTGATGGCAGTCAAGTTGCCCAAATCTGGGGAAAGCACCGGGGGTCAAGGATAGTCAGAGGGCAAGGGATGAGGCTAAATTCTCATCTTCATGCTGAACATCTCCTGCTCAACTTGTACCTCTTGCTTGCTCTCTTTCGGTTGCCTTTATGAAAATCACTTGATTTCTATACCAAAGGAGGAAGATGGGATTTGTAAGCTTCTCTGGGCAGGGAGAGAAAGCCACCTATGTAAAGGAATCAATCATGAGACATCTTGATCCCAGACTTCACAGAAGTTTCCCATACTAAAGTACTAAACAACATAAAATAACATGCTTAATTTAAAAGTCCTACAGCTTTATTAATTTTCCTGTTCTTTAATTGTAAGGCCTACTCTCATAGTAACAGCTAAATCAGCAGTGTTCCTAATCATGGCTGATATTGCAAAAAATGCCCCAAGATAAAGTTTCCTTAACACACTCAGATCTCTCATCCATGCTCTGAAGTCTTAGGTCTAACACTATTCACTTAGTCTAACACTCAGCATTTCCTCTCCTCTTCCTTGCCATTCATCCTGCTCCACTGACTGCACCTCATGCCTGACTAATTACATTTACCCTAACGCTGGCATCAAAGCAGGGCCCTGCTGGTGATTTGTGCTGACCTATGAGTGATGTAGAGGAGTGAATGCATGGAGAGGACCTTCTCCATGTGGAACAATGATCTTTCATTGTTGTATACCATGCTCCTAATACATAAACACATTCCTCCCCAGGCCCATATGGATAAAGAGATCCCACTCCTCTCTGTGCTGTGTAGTATTTACTTGGGCTGCTATAATTAAGGATCTTTGATAAGATCTGCTTATATAACCATGGTGATTAGTGAAGTATAGAAATGGAAGCAGATTAAATGAGATTACCAGCTATAGCTGTATTATAGTGTATATAAGTTGCTTTCTCTAATTAATTTTTGATGCTGCATCTTAAATGGATTCTCTTTCCTCATGTTTGTGCCTTGTTCTCAGACATGGCAAGCAGAGAGCTAGTAAAATTGTTCAAAGGCCTTGCTGTCTGTTAGCTAATTATCTCTACACACCCACTGTTAACAAAATCCTTCTAACCTGAGAAGCCAGGTGTATACCGGCCTAGAGCTCCAGTTATCTCTTTAATACATAGTTCTGGGCTTGGGTAAAAAGTGCATGCCATTTTCTATTGAATGCATCATGTATACTACTGTTCTCTTTTGTTTCACAACCACTGTTTTCTTCTCCTTTCCTCCTTGTTCTTCCTCTCATAAAACTGTTTTCCTACCTCCTTTTTCTCTTCTCTTTTCTCATCTCCCCAGCCCTGAAAACCAGGAAACCAAGTAGGGGTGTCACCATCTTCTCCTCATCAGGTAACTGGTATCTAGTATGGCACTGGGATTAAGGCAAACCCAAGCAGAGGAAGGTTTGTGGCAGCATTTAACCATGTAGATCTAAACAAGTTGGGAGTGGTGGTATAATCCACACTAAGCCTGTGGAGAGTATGCTCATACAATCAGTTGCAATGTTGCTAACATCTCTAATGTAGATGTAATTCTGGCTCTTTGACACTGGATTAATTACAAGCCCATTGGCACCTGATGAAGTCACAAAAAAAAGGACACCTGGTTTTAATTCTTGATTCACGCATGGATACCTGTAGATGGAAGCAACACATAAAATGCAGAGCATAGAAATACCTTCCCCTACATGGAGAGTACTCTATAGGTGCAGACCTACTCTCAGGTGTGTTTCAGTGCTGGCGCTGTTTCAGACACTGGCACATGTACAGCCAGGATAAGTGGGGAGGGAGGATGCAGGAAGAGGCAGAAGGTTCCAAAACTCAAGTGTGGATGGGGTCCACACTTGCTAGTGTAAGGGGTTCCTGAGGTATGGAAGACTCCTATGGAAACAAAGAGCAAGGTAGGACTAGGTTTATTTTTCAGTAGAAAAGTGATTACTATATTACAAGTCTGAAAAAAGACAATGATTATTCAAGTACCAGCTATCCATCAAAACACTACCAGTACAGCAATACATGCACCACAGAACTTTGCAATTTTCTTTAAACTTTTACACTTAATGAATAATATTAGGCATGTACTTCTGCTGAAGACTTCGTAAGATCTCTGCTTGTTATGTTCAAAGGCACATTTCCAACATGGGAGCAGCTGTTTTGTTTTCTAATAGCACCTCCAGGTTTACTTGTCTGAGAAACACACATGTCAGTGGCAGCAGGCTTCACAGGACTTATGGACTGTCTAAGTTAAAGCAGTGCTCGGGAGGACAGCTTCTGCTGTTGGCAATACACTGTGCTACACAAGATATCAAAAAGGTCAATCTGTGAACAAGGTAAAGAGTCAGAACACACTGTACTTCCAATGGTAAAAACACCAGCGAAAACCAAATTAATTCCCCAGGAAGAAATATGCATTTCAACACATCACCTGAAAGCTTTAACGCATTAAAGTAAAACAAACAAACAAGGCAGTTTTGCTCTGCTTATCATGTAAAGTGTATACTCCGGGAACAAATGTCACAGGCTGCTTTTAGTGCTGAATCCGAACCACCAGCAACTTCAGCTTTGTTGGAGCTCATTGTGGGCTGCTGTAGTTGCAATTCCCCTGACAACTGAGGCTAGGTCAGGCCTCAGAGCATGTCCCCACCAGGGGACTGAGCTGATCTAGCAGCACACTATTACTGAAAGTGCTTGTCCCACTCCTTCATCTGCAAGTGCAGCTGCTGAAATCCTGATCTTCCCTTCTGTTTGGCACTTATTTCACTACTCGGTGAGCCAGCTCAGCTTGCTAAATGAGCAGGAAATCACTCTGCTATCTGCAAGTTTTTTTTCCTACTGGTTTCCTGAGTTCATACTGCAGTAGGAGGCAGGTGTGCAGTGAGCAAATAACAGTTGCAAAAAAAAAAAAAAAAAAGTGCATCCTCTAATAAACAAACTTTTGGGGCTCATAGGTCGCAATGCAAAGCTAAGCAGCAGTATCTGTTTCCGGAAATAAGATCTTCTCAGACTTTGCTTGTGATTCCTGGTTCTAGTATCTGGATCCTAATCATGAATAGTGACTGAACTGCCTTCATTCTGTGTAACTACTGTCCTAAAATGAAATGTTACTGGAATTGCTGTTCCTTTCTTTAGGCAGCTGCATTTTAAACATCTTCTGGAGTCAGGAAGGGGTCAGGGCATGATGCAGCAAGCACTCATGTTTGTAAATAGTCCTATTGGCTACAATGACACTATGAACTTTATATGAAATAAAGGGTATTTATATGAAATAAAGGGTATTTATATGAAATAAAGGGTAAATGCTTCAGAAAAATAAAATACGAGATAAATTTTACTTGCAGCAGACTGACTGCTCAGCCTGTTTTTTGTACCACAATTATTCTTCCTTTATAAGGAGGAGTATTTCTAGGTACACTTATAAGGCCTAAGAGAAACTACTTTATTGTTATGATATATTTACATCAGTGTAAAATACTGTCAAACCACAAACAACAGCCATTGTGTTGCCAATCTACCAAAACCAACATCAGTATAACTTCACTGTGGCATAAAATGAGAAGTAATTAGAAGGAAGATAAAAATGAACAAGTTTTGCTTCCCTGCAGTGATTTTCCAGAACCCAGTGAACAAGAGGGTGGGTGCAAAGTGTGTGATGGCCAACGTGACCCTCCTGACCTAATCCGGGCCGGTTTTTGAGGGCAGGGAGCAGGTTATACACTGCCACACAAGCCAGAGCCCCACACTGATGAGCAGCACCACATCCCTGGAGCCGCTCAAAGCCAGGCTGGATGAGGCCCTGGGCAGCATGATGCACTGAGTGGCAGCCCTCTCCACAGCAGAGAGGTTGAAATCAGATGGTCTTTAAGATCCCTACCAGCATAAGTAATTCTACGTCAATCCCTTACCTACAAACCCCATCACACACACACCTGGTGCCCACCCTTCGCCCCCGCCTCAACTCCCAGCGCCACGCTGCACCGCGCATGCGCGGCAACGAGCCCGTGTGGCGCTAGCGCCAGCCGCGCGGCCGCAGGGACTGGAGGAGGGGACGGCCCGCACGGCTGCACCAATCAGGCGGTAATCGCTTCGCGCGCATGCGCAGAGGGCGGCGGACCCCCTCCCGCCTTTGCAGGGGCCGACGAGAAGCGTTTCCGGCGCCGCGGCTGTGACGTGTGCGGTCGGCGCCGGGCTGTCCGGCGGGCGGGCGGTGGGAGATGGCGGAGTATCTGGCCTCCATCTTCGGAACAGAGAAGGACAAGTGAGTGCCCTATCCCTCTTCTCGCGCCGCTCCCGCGCTTCGCGGGTGGGGGGTGGAGGGAGGCCGGCGGCGGCGGGATCTGCTTTGCGCCCGCTGTGCGCGGAGCTTTCCTTCGCTGCTTCCCTTCAGGGGCTGCGGCGCTCCGTCCCCTCCCCCGCTCAGCCTGGGCCGCGCGCTGGAACGCAGCGCCCGCGGAGGGAAGCGAAGGGGAAAGAGGCGGCCGCGCTCCCCGCTCTCACCCTCCCCCCCGCCTTCCTGCCCCCCCCTCGGCCCGCGGCGCGGTGCCCTCCCCTCCCCCACCTCCGGACTGGAGCGCGCGTGCGCGCGCCGCCTCTGAGAAAGGAGGGGGAGTGCGCGCCCCCGTGTGCGCGCGCCGGCCCCGCCCAGTGTCCGGGCTGGGCCCGATCCGCTCTCTCCGGGAAGCGCCGCCGCCATGCGGGCGTGCCCGCGCCTCGTGGCGCGCCTCCGGCCCTCCTCCTCTTCCCCGCGGCGGCTGCGCCGTGCGGCCGGGCCTGGCTTTCTCCTTTTGTTCAACGCTCGGCCCCCGCCTCACGGAGCTGTGTGTTAACCCTACTGTCCTTCCTGGCGTAAGCACTGCGATCTCGCAGCGTAAGTGCACGTCGTGCAGCGGGAGTCCGATCTCCGTGCTCTCACTGTGTGTCTAAACAGCGAGCAGAACGCTCCGCAAAGTGTTAAAAGTTTGAAGGATTACTGCACGCTGTAGAGTTACGAACGTGAGAATAATGGTTTTTTTTCTTCCAGGAGAATTTTTATTTCTCTTTACGCACGTCTAGCCTGTAATAGCTTTTATGCCTTCATAACTTTGCTTGCAGTTTTTCTGGTTGAGTTAACTGAGCTCTTTATGCCTCTTCTTCCACCATTCTGCATCCACGAGAGTTCTACTGGCATGCCCAAACCAGCACAGATCTGAAGCTGTTGTTGGGTGATAGCTGGACCAAGAGAAGATATAATGAGCAGCAAATATAAATAAAGCTTGCTTTACAAAGAACTAGATCACAAAGATGGCTTGGCGAGGAAATAAGCATGAGCAAGACAAATCCTTCCTTTGTGTAACACTTCTTTCCTTTAATTGAATTATTTCAGATAGCATCTTGGTAGTGCTTTTAGCTTCCATTGGAGCAGGTGGGTTTTTAAAACATGGCGTACGTGCAGCTGTATTGGTTTTAAAGCACGTTATATTGCCTAGAGGAAGGGGTTGCATGGAGGACATAACTATAGCTTGTGGTGTAACTTTTCAGACAGCTCTTCACCTTACTTCCTGTCCTACCACACCACAAAACTGACAGAAGGACAAATGAAGGGAGGGGATTGGAAGGGTAGAACAGCAGCAATCGCTCTGTTACTTTTCCACATCAAGATAAAGGCATTTGGGGCACATTTTATAGGGACTGTATACTAACTTCTTTATTCCAGTTTGTAACTACTTTGGGTTTTATACTTGCAGAGTCAACTGTTCGTTTTATTTCAAAATCGGAGCTTGCCGTCATGGAGACAGATGTTCTCGGTTGCACAACAAACCAACATTTAGCCAGGTTTGTTTTCCTTTTGCTTTTTGTTTGTTTGTTTTGAATTCGTAGAAGTATATTCTTTAAAACATAGATCCTCAGATAAAGCTGAATAATTACAGAGCTCCAGAATAAGTAGTTCACTTTTGGCCCCAGTTTATATGGGATTTTGCTTTTTTGGGGGTATTCCATTTACTTCTCCCAGCATTTCTAATCATCTCCTGTCACCCTTAATGGCTGCAGGAAGCGATGCTGTTGTAAGCTTGCCTGTAGTAGAGACCAACCAGTGCTAACTTTCAGGTGAGTGTGCCTTCTCAGTGATGTTAGGCACTTAAACCTTCCCAGATTTTTTTTATTATCACAACTAATAGCAACTTGTTCCACCTAGCCAAAAGGTGTGAACTTAAGTCTTTGCATATAAGAGGAAAAAAAAAAAAAAAGCAAATAAGCGACTTTCCTGTCGTTATCTTTGCTCTCTGACCCAGGCTCTTAAGTTTCAAATGTAATTTACTTCTTTTGAATGTGAACAAATTATTTCTTGAAAGCAATTTGCCTGGTTGCTGAGGGCATATACATCAGTTAACTTGACAGATTACTTAGATTTTGGCTATCTAAACATTAGAGATAAGATGAGTGACTGCACATCTGTTTAAAGAAGTGGTGCAGAGGGTGATAGGGTTGTTTTTGTTATTATGAGCTCTACGGTTTTCAGAAAACTACTTTTATGTGGAGAACTATATGCTTTTCCTTTTTCTATCACCGCTGATTGTCAAGGTATGCAGGTAAATAGATTTCTTTGGGAGAACTCTGTATGATGTACTCATGGAAACTGCTGTTTTAGAGGCAGTTTTATCTACAGAGGTGAAATTTATGTAGCGGTGGAGTCCTCTGGGCTGGTGTTGGTTAGGAGGGAGTTCAGAAGTCAGGTAACAGTCACAAGGCTGGAGGTTAGAGGTACTGCTACTGAAGTTAAAGCTACTAAATATGAGTGGGCTGTGGAAGTGGTATGCAGGAGTGGTTTGAGGGGTAGAAACTGTCAGGGTTGTGATCTGTGAGCACCACTGCTGGTACTTCATCAACTGAGGGAGTTTTTCCATCTAAGGGAACTTAATAATTCTTAGTGTAGATACTGCTTATCCAAAAGTCCATTTTTCTGAATGTGTTACTGATATACATGGACAGCATACTGAAATCGATTAGGTAATGTAGAGGTTTGAGTTTAGGTTCTTGGCTACTAGAAGATAATTTGAAATTAGACAACTTCCACAGTGGTTGCTATAATGTTAAAACCATATGTATATTTTTAAGAGAGCATTTATATCCAGCCCTTTGGCTGCAGCCTTCAGTTTTGCTGCAGAAGCTGCAGTTAGTACTGCTGGCTGAAGTGGGTCAGCAGGGCATGCTGGAATCATCTGGCGACATCTGGGAGCGCTGCTCTTGGCTGACACACTCTATTGGAACATCTGCAGCATCTGGGATTCCTTACAGAAATCTTTATTTGTATGCAGATTGGTAATCAGCTGTGATAGAAAATAGAGGAAGAAATATGCTATTAATGGGAAGCTGCTGCCTCAGTGTTTTTATCTTCCCCTGATGCGGCCCGTATCGAAGGGCTGTGTTAGGAGAGGTTATGCAATCCAGAGTGATCAAATTAGCAGGAACACTGTAATTGTGTTTCTGGCTCTCTCCAATTGTAGAGTAAAACAGTTTTTTTAAACCTGGGCCATGGAAGCTTTGATTGATATAACCGTACCTATTATAAAACAAGTATGTGATTTAAATGTGATACTACAGAATCTGTAATATTAAGTGGTCAGCATATGTTGGTATGACATTGCTGGTCCTGTGACTTTTTTTTTATGATGTAACTAATGATAATAATGTATAAGTTAAGATAATTTGGGGACTGCGATTCATACTAACGTTGAGCTTGTATTTTAAGTAAGTAATCACGTTTCAGTTTTTGAGCTGCTTACAGTGATATGGACATTTGGGTTATTTTATTTTTTTTTGTAATATTAGTTTACTAACTTAAACATGGTTTGTTTTTTCAGACAACTTGATTTTAAGAAGAACGGTACAAATGTAAGGTTTCAAGTCTGCCTGGGCTAATTCTTCAAGTAAAAAGCAGAAGGGCTAAAAGGATATTGTCCTTATTTGAAGGATCGGAAACATGCGAACCTATGATGCTATTATATTATTTAAACAGAAATTCCACCAAGAAATTCCCGATACACAAAACGAGATGCAGCTCATGCCTAAAAACCTTATGGTGTGGTGTAACGTTCTAGGCTCTGTGGCATTATGTATTGTATGCTGTGCACATAACGCTTACTTTTTTTCCTAGACTCACAGTAATGAATCTGATCTTCAAAATAAGATGAAGCTAGGCGTATCCGTCCTATCACGTAGTTTGGTGTTTCAGGTTACTGTGCCTCACAACTCCCATTTTGAGGATAGCTGTTGAGACAAACGCAGCTCTTTCTTGGTGGTTAATTACAACTGTTTTCATAATATGATGGTCTGGATGCAATTGGAAGATTTTCTGCAAATACAAAAAGGAAGTCTTAAGAACAAGCTATTACTTTTAGATGTTTGCGAACAAGTTGTCTCTTTGCAATTGTCTATTATATGCACAGCAGCCAGTAGAATTCCCCTTTTTATTTTTTTTCCCCGCAGACCATCTTGATTCAAAACATCTATCGTAACCCCCAAAACAGTGCACAGACGGCTGACGGCTCACACTGTAAGTCCCACAGTTGGAGAAATTTTTTTAAAGAATGGTGTTAAAGAGCCCACTCCTAATTATGAGAAAATCATGTTGGCTTCTGAGCTGCTGACATAAAGCTGTTGCAAACAGGACAAGTGACGGAACTCTTCTTGCGCATATATCAAGAACTTGTCAAATGTGTGCAATTCAGAATGCAGAACGTGATTTCATGAATTGGACTTGATGCAAATTTGATTGTTTAGTAACGCTGCATTCTTTTTAAAGGGTTAAACTGCAGGCATTTATCAAATTCTTGATCCAACAACATCAACAAAAAAAAAAATAGGTCTATTTGTGATGTACGGTAAGTTTCCCAGACTGTGGTTTTTCTTTCATCTTAACATTTATAGGAAGATGGAGATCTCATGTCATGCTCTGATATTGTATTATCTCTGTTCCTGGGGCTTTGTTACTAAGAGTCCATTCAAGAAGACCAAATTCAAGCGAATATGATTATGGTTATAGTCTTGAATACTGCTTTTGGATGCCATTTATTACATGTCTGCATGAAATCATGCAAAAGCTTTCCACAGGTTAATATTGGTTAGTAAAATAAAAGTAAAATACAATAGTGGAGTATCATGAGATCTCTTATTTTACAGTGTTAGGATCATTCAGAAAGGTCACCAGCTAAGTGAAAGTTCTCCTTCTTGGGAGAAAATAACCACCTCTCTTTCAGCACAGACTCGGCTAGAGCGACCCTAAAGGAAACCAGTTTCTTGTTAAAATTATTTTCTATAATATAAAGTTGTTGCGTTTTGTATTTCAGACCATTGCCCTCTTGAACATTTACCGTAACCCTCAAAACTCTTCCCAGTCTGCTGACGGTTTGCGCTGTAAGTTCATACAAGTTCCTTCACTGGTTCCCTGGGCTTGATTGTCAGAGCTCAGTGTCGACTTAAGCTGGTCTACCATATTAGTTTAACAGATCAAACTGACCACGTTTAATGAAATGTGCCCCCAAAAATACCCAAAACTTTTTGTCCCACTCACCTTCTTCCCTACTCTGAAAACTATGAGGGAAATCTGAATACCATCTATTAACTCAGTTGGAATTGTATTCCCTATAAAGCAGTCTTGATGCACTGCCTTCATCCGCCCCTCCTTTCTCCTTGCCAGTTGCTTGCATCCAAGCAGTGCTTTTCTGTATGTTTTATGGTATCCATAAGATATCACCGCCTAAAAGAGCAGGATAATGACACGTTGACTTCATCCAGAATAAATTTCCTGCTCTGTCAATGTTAAGGGAAGTTGAATTTGAAACTCTTCAGACTTCATGCAGAAATTTGTTCTAGGTTAATGATGTGGCTTCTATTTGGAGTCTGCTTTGGAAGAATGCACTGAGAATAGCTTCCCTTTTGGCAGCTGTCCTTTTGGATAGGTGCATGGTTAAAATTCCTTCCATGCTTTGAAAATTCAAATTCCAAAAGCAAGTTGCATGTTCGTGTAGGAAAATATATCTTTAAAAGTACTTTTGAGGAGGGGCAGCCATTTGTGCATGGTCACAAACTAACTTGATGACTCCTCATGAGGTAGGAATGGACAAAGGAGGAAAACATCTACTCTAAGACTGGTAGAAATTAAATGACCAAGATTGTTGATCTGCAATTACTGACCTGTCATTGTGACTGAAACGTCATATTAGAATAAGATTAAATTTAAAAACTAGAATCAAAAAGGATCGATATTATTTTCTAACTAATATTTCTTGTTGAAGTGAATATGACTGTGTGGTAATAAAGCTTTGTTTGGCTATTCCTTTTTTGGGCTGTTGGATTACAGACTAGTTCAGATTAGTTACCAGCATTTGTGAAATCAGCCACTACCTTACAAGTCAACGCTGTGTGTTCTGCTCTAGAAGTAATAATGGCCCAGTTAAGCAACTCGAGCTTGTTTTATGTGATGCGATCAAGCTAGATGCGTAATGAGCTGTGTAAGTTTGTCTAGATGCTAAACACTTCTATTGGTTTGTAGGCCTTGCTGCAGATGCTTTGTAGTTAATGCTGTTTTGATGAAACAAAAACGTACAGTTGGATTTTTCCACTGTCCCTAAATTTTCAATGCGCTGGTAACTAATTTGCACGGTTACAGCAGTTTGGTCTGTGGAGCTGTTTAGATTGTACAGCTGCAAGAGTCTTGACTTGAACAGACTCTCTAGTCTTCTAAAAACTGGTATCCAACTTCAGTTTGTCTTGATGAGTGGGTAGTCATTTAACAGAGCCTGACTGTACCTTGTGCGGTAGAGCTGGAGCTCTGTTATCAGTACGTTTGCTGAAACTCCCAGCTCCCTGTTTTTTTCCATATTTTTGTCCCTACTTAAGTACTGCATGTATTTTAAATGGGTAACTCGGGTAGCTGTTGAATGTGTTGTTTGTTGTTGCTTAACTGTCTTCCTTTCTATTGCCGTCGTAGAGGATTAACCTTAGTTTTGAACAATAATAGTTTTCCTGAGTATTTTAATTAGTAATTGGGCTTCTCAAGGTTCAGATACCGGTGGCCCTGGAACATGAATGTTTGTAAAGCCTGTGCATATGTATGCTTCCCAGTTAGAGGGACCTTCACGTAGTTATTAACTAATTGTTGCTTATGATCTCTTAATTTGACAGTGGAATCTCCTTAAAGTTTCTAGCACTCATCCATTTGGTTAAAATTAATTATTCCCTGTGTGGCTCATGGAGCCCCCATCTGATATCTTAAATAAATAAATAAATCCTTAGATATTAATAAGCTATTATGAGTGGTGATTGCCCCACCTTGGGAATATAGTGAAGTATTATCTGTTTAAAAGAACTGGTTGAACATTTGGTATTTGCTTCGTTTGCTGTGTAACTGTGGGAAAGTGGTGGGGAAGATGAAAGCTCTGAAAGCAAACATTTTTTAAATTGAGAAACATGAACCTAAACTGCATGACAAATCTCCCTTAGCCTTCTTCAGGAGGCAGCTGGCTGGGAGAAAAATAATTGCAGTTCCAGAGAATGTGGCTGGTTACTATTAGAGACTTTGAAGAAAGGTGCTGTGTTCTTCCAGATGGTACTGTTAGCCAAAAATGGCTGAGCCCAAGGCATCTGTTTTTTCATAGCAGCCCAAGCTGAATAAACTTAGCCTTGTTGGCTCTGTTTCTTTCACGTTCTGTGAACTAAAACAGCAGTGTTTGTAATTTAAAGGCTAAAATATTTTTCTAGCATGAAATGCAGGGTTCATTTTAAAACTACTCCACTTGATCGTAATAAACCACTTAACTGCTGAAGAGCTAATCCATTAGGCTTTAATGTATGTAGCTTAATATACCTTAAAATACCATAGAGTAGTGGAAATAAATTAAACTTATTTTTACATTCTTAATGCTCTGTAAATCAGCCAAACTTATGTTGCTTTTTTAATGGCAGCAGGCAAGCAGCGTTCATTTGTGAAGTGCAGCTTGGAGCATGTAAAACAGTTTAACCTATGTGGCTGGCTTATCTTGCACTAAAATATTTTTGCAGGATTATAGAAAAACTAAGTGATACTTTTAAAAAAAAAAAAAAAAAACAACCACCAAACAGTGCTTTCTGTTGCAAGGCACTGTAGTACCCTTCTTTGAGAGCACTTAAGAAGCACTATTTTAATAACTCCTGAGGAAATTGTTAAAAAATTAAATAAAATTCCGAGCTGCGTTACTTTGTGAACTCTCACCTTCTAGTGTATGTGTGCTGGAGATGGAGAGGTGGATTTGTTAAAAGGAAATTCTATGTTTAGGGAGCGAAATGATAAACTGTAATTGTACTTAGAAATATGCACATATGACAAAGCTCTTGCCTTCTGTTTAGGTAATGTTGGTAGATAAAGGGTGGAATTGTGCATCAAACGTAAATCATACTTCAGAGCAATTCCATTCCCTTTCCTCCCTTTAGATTTGTGGCATACAAGTTTGGTTCTGATTTAAAATTGGTTCTGATTTGATCATGTCAATAGAATGCTTTGATGTTTTATTTTGGACTTTAAATTGTTTGCATATACCAATTTTCTTTAATACTCCTGTTAGTTAGCTACATGATATATGGTGTCCTTTATGCTCCAGGTGGCACCTCTAGGTTATGTTTTGTAGTATAAGCATTTTTTTCCTTAGTGACATGGTCTAATCAATATGACTCTTGATTTTTACAGGTGCTGTGAGCGATGTTGAGATGCAGGAGCATTACGATGAATTCTTTGAGGTATGCAGAAAAAGCGAATGTTCAGAATGCATTGAAGTGTTCTCAGACTTACAGAAGCAAATGACTTAAGTGGGTTTTAGGGAATATCACAAGTAAATGGATTCAGAGAAAACCATTTGTTTCCTCGGGTGTTTGTTTAAACTTCAAACTTTCAGTGCTAAGTATTCGCTGGTGTAACTTCAGTTAGTTTAGCTTTACTGTATATAGCAGGCTTTGTTTAAAGATCATCAACCCGTGCTTTATGGCATTTGGATTCTGTAATCTCTTCTGTAAATTAAAAAAAAAAACAACACCTTAATCATTGGTATGGATAATATACATGTAAGGAATACTGTTGCTGCAAGCCTTATGTGTGGAATTTTCAGTGCTGCTTATGTGTTGACTAAATACTGTATGCTTAATGTTTTCCATAGCTTTTTATTTTATCCTGTTAGCACTGTGCTTAAAGGTGGACACAGTACAGGCCAAGCAAGTACCAATTTTAAGATGGGAAATGTGAAGACTTTTCAAAGAATGGTCGTCTTTTAGTTGTTATTAATAGTTAAGTGCATCCGTTCCGCACTTTAACATGTCCCAACATTTTAATTTTCTTTATTTTTTTTAAACCGGTTTGTGTTTAGGAGGTCTTCACAGAAATGGAAGAAAAATACGGTGAAGTTGAGGAGATGAATGTTTGTGATAACCTTGGAGATCATCTAGTTGGAAATGTATACGTAAAGGTAGGATAAAAAGAGAAATATTAGTTTAAATGAATAGAAGTAGTATAGAAGATTTGTCATTTTAAAAGCACTGTTCTTGTAGCTTCAGGATCCTAAATGCTCTCCACTTTATCAATATAAATTAAGAAGAGTGGAAGTAGCAATGGAATTTGAAACAAATTTTAAGAAACAGTGAAAAGCGTTTCTGATACTCAAAATCTGTGTCAATGTATTAAGACACGTGCAACCTTTTTTAGCCAGTTAATAAACACAGTCTCTGCTAAAGTTGTGTTAACTGACCAGTATGAATTCTGGATCTTTCTTCCTGTCATGCTGCATTCTAAGAACTTAACTAAGAGCAGAAGTTTATTTGCAGCAGGTGTTTGTGTTCAACAGAATGCACTTAGTTCCTAACTTCCCAGTTAAACAAAACATCTTGTAACCAGTGGCCCTAGTTGGTGTATGGTCCAAACCAAAGGGCTTAGCTTTAGCTCTTAAAAGCTATCAGTACATGCTTTGAATAATCTGTACACAGTTATCCACTTGCAGAAATTTCATTGTGTATACAAAGTGTCAGGGAGGTGGAGAGCAAGAGCAGATAAATATTTTTACTGTAATTTTCCTGAACTGAGAAATATTTTGGGGCCATATACGTATGGCCGTATGTATCTGTGTAGACCATAATAATCAGAAAGCAAAGTTGCTTCTGAAAATTTATGTTGGGACTGTGAAAAAGAATGCTTTTCATCTTCTTTTTAAAACAGAATCTAAGTTTCTGTAAGTGAACAAGGGCTTCAGTTCTCATGCTGGTTTCTCTTAAACGATTGAAGAAGTTCCATTACATTTGGAGCATTAGTATTACATGATGTACACTGTATTTAAAGTTGTAGTGAGAAGGCAGTGTTCCTGTAATTTACAATATAAACTGCAAAACTAAAAAGACCAAATAGAATATAACTGTGAAAAAGTATCTGTTGTGATTAGCCCTGAATCCAGGTCGGTGAAAAGCTAGATTATTTTTTTTTACCCTGATGATACTGTCTGTCTTAGGAGCTCTGAAGTAGTTCGTAGTTACATTAATAGTCCTAAGCCACAAATAACATAAACCTGTTTTGTCAGGAATCTTTGATCTACTTCTGTTGCTTCTCCACAGCATGAAAAATTATTTTTGCTTTTAGTTTCGCCGTGAAGAAGATGCAGAAAAGGCTGTGATTGACCTGAACAATCGCTGGTTTAATGGACAGCCTATTCATGCTGAGCTTTCACCTGTGACCGATTTCAGAGAGGCCTGTTGCCGTCAATACGAAATGGGGTAAAAAGCAACTTCCTGTTTGCCTATGGAAGTGTCTTTTAAAGTGTTTTGCACAAACAAGATGGTTGCTTGGGTGTGGGTTTTATGTGTAATTCAGAGTAAGATGAAAAAGCACTTCAGGCAATGTTAATCTGGAGTATCTGTAGTCAGCTTTTTTGACTTATCGTCTTTTGGATTTTGATCTAGGAGCAAGTCAGTTTCGGTAACAGTAAATGATCTTTACTGTTTCTAGTATTAGAGGTGATTAACTTGTGAATGGCTAGAGGCCTACTAAGGGCTTAGGGCAAACAGATCCACTGTAGAGCTGAGAATTGTAACTGTCTCGAATTCTGTTTCAGAGAGTGTACACGAGGAGGTTTCTGCAACTTCATGCATTTGAAGCCCATTTCTCGAGAGTTAAGACGTGAGTTGTACGGGCGTCGTCGTAAAAAGTGAGTTTGCTTTTAAGCACAATTAAAACAGATAAACTACACATCAGTTGCATAATGTTCAGGAGACAAACCTTTTAAACTTAAGTCTTCTCTTGCTGTTTCTGACGTGCATCTGTGAAAGGCATTGAGTACAACTAGAGAGCGGACAGCTTAGAACAAAGGAGTGGGTTTTTTTGTAAAAACAACCAGAAGTATGATTCTATCAAGAAGATCTTTGGATATTTTCGAGACTCGATGAGTATTTACTCTTTCTCTTTAGTTTGATTTAACAGTTAATGGCTAGCTTTTGTAGCCAGTATTTGTTCCTTAGCAACAGGAGGTTAATACTAGAGTATATATTAATTAAGATACCTTGTGGAAAAGCTTACACCGCTGCTGTTAATGCAGCATGTTTTTTGGATGGTCCACTTTGTGCTGGATTGAATCTCTTCAGTTTTAGGAACTTTTTATTTAGGTTAAGCATGTTTAATTGTTGGGTTTGCTTTTGTATGGAGCAGTTTTGTATGCCTCTTTCAATCACAGAAGGAGCCTGGGGGTAGGAAAATACTTTTCCTATAAGTGTCTCTAATTGGCAGCATCTTAAAATCTGTGAGGATAAATTTAACTTTCATAATGTGAATTAACATGTTTGTGCCAAAATACTTTCTTACAGTATTCAAATTTCAGTGTAATTTCTTGGGGTGTTCAAACAATTTGTGAAAAAAAAGATTAAATATGCTCATCTGAGCCTTTTGGTCATGCTCAAGAGTCTGAATCCGGACCTTTCTGACTTAGGCACCAGTATGTCATCTTGTATTGCAATAAAGATCAGACTTGCATGTTTGGCTGTGGAATATGATTGTTTTATCCATGGCCTAATTTCAGTCTGGGGTCAAGCAAATAAAATAGTTGAGTCCTCAGAGTAATTTAGTCTTTATTTGCCCTGTTTAAATTCTTGGTGAAGCTAAAGCTGTCACGTGCTAGCAGTAAGGCCGGATGTTAAAAAATGCAGTTCTTGCATCAATGGGGTTTTGCAGGTAGATTGTATAGATTAGAATGACCTGAAAATAGTCCTAGTAAAATGACGTACTTTGAAATTTCAAGTAGAAAAAAGAAGGGTATACCTGAACCTGTAGAAAAATAAGCTAATTTAGTAATTTTGAAGCTCAGTGGTATGCAAGACCTGTGTGCCTCCATGTTTGAGTAAAATTTGTCCCTGTATTTGCTCCCATCCTGGAGCACTGCAGCATGGAACAATATTTTGTAAAACCAGACTTGTAGCATTTGTTTCCATGGTCTTTTGAATTCTGCTGTAATTTCTACATCTATTTAAATGGTAGTGTTTATTTTCTGCCTCTTGTTACTGAATTGCCTGAAATCCTTATAACCCTTTAGAACACTGTTTCCTTGACAAGTGCCATGTAAGACATAAATCCATAGTAGCTGTGTTAGCAGTACATTCTGTGTGGTTTTAGCATTCTTCTTGAAGTCATCAACACTAGAGGTAGGGAAGGATTATTTGCAAAGATTGATGGCTTCTGGAAATGGAAGGCAGGAAAAAAAGCAAAAATGGATAAAACTCAGATTTTTGAGCTGCTAGATAATGCTGTTGATTTAATGGGCTTGGACTTGTAAATGTTTAGCTGAAGGTTTTTCTTCTGTGTGCTTGAGAGCTATTATCAGCTACAGAAGCAGTTGTCCCCTTTTCTTTTTGCTTCAATTAACAGCTGCATAAAAATGCATTTGTTTCCTCTACTTGCCTCTCCTTAAGCTTTATGACTGGCAGTGAACAGCGGAGTTTTTTTATGATAGCTGACTCCTCAGTGTTACATTTGTTCAATACATAATTGTATGATTTCACAGCGTGAGTGTCAATTTACCAATACTTAGAATATTCCACTCTGTTTTTCTTCTGTTCCATTACTTTCATCCTTAAATATTCCCCGGAATGCAACTGAAAGTGCTGAAACAATAAAATGTTCATACTTTCTTTGAAGGCATAGATCCAGGTCGAGGTCCCGTGAACGTCGGTCTAGATCCAGAGATCGTGGTCGTGGAGGTGGTGGTGGAGGAGGAGGAGGACGTGAACGTGATAGGAGGCGGTCAAGAGATCGTGAAAGATCCGGTCGATTCTGAGCCATGCCATTTTTACTGTATGTCTGCTAGAAAGTGTTGTAGTTTGACCAAACAAGTTCATAATGAGATTTTTTTTAAAGATGGGCTTCTGAATAAAAATTTGTAGTGATACAGTATTCTTTGTGTAACTTGTTTCTTGTGGGGGGGAGTCTTTTTAACTGTCATTCCTCTATCTTGACAAATACCTGGATTAATACTATGCCTGAGGGAAAGGTGGTAAATGTATTGGAGGAGGGCCGGTTTGGGGGTTTTTTATTTTTATTTTTTATTTGGACATGATTTGAACTGTTGATGAAAATGTGTGTGTATATAATATGAAATATTATATACATAGTAAAAAATAATATACTGCTTAAGAAACAGTTACTCAAATAAGTTTCCCTTTTCTGCTATGCTGTCTGCTTATTTAGGTTAGTTTAGGCACATTTAAAAGGAAGGCTGTGCGAAGTGCATTTATTTACCAAGTAGAAACGCTTAGTTACAAAATGTATGTTTGTTTGTTACCAGAAGTCTGTGCTCTGTCTATCAATGTGACTGTGGCATTTACAATAAATCCAGTTTCTTGGTGTAAAATCTAAAGCCTTTTTTCTAAGCACTCTGGAGTAGTTGTGTTGCTACTCCTGGCAGTGCCAGAGTTCATAGCTGAGGGTTTTTTTTATTCTTGACTAATTTCCTCATCTTTGCTAGAAATGAAGTTACCTATTGCAATGTGCGGGAGGGGTGGGAAACAGTATTTTTATCTCAGTAGCAATGAGTTTCTTTTTTAAAAACTCATGCTCCATACAACAGGAGACGCAGGATCTATTGACAGAAACTAAAGGTCCTAAATAGAAGGCCCAAATTTCTTAACAGACTGAATTTTTTCACTGTGTTCTCCTAGCTGTTGCTTAATGAAGAGCGTTTCCCTAGTGTTCGAGCTGACAGAGGACTAATTGGATACTAAGGAAAATTTATTTTTTTCCAGCTTTACTTACTTTCCAGTTTTACTTTTGAAGAGATGTAAAGTGTGATGGAGGCTGACAAACAGGTGGCAGTTTCTTCACAAGACTTTTTCTGTCTTGGTTCAGTTGAATCGCACAACAGCTATGTATCTTAGGTTGTGCATCCCTTAAGGAGTTAAAAGTTTGAGATATTGCTTGAGAGACTGTACAGTGTACTTGCAATTTCAATTCATTCATGTCTGCTTTTACTCAGCTTGTGTGGTAGCATGAAGTTTTGGTCAGTGGTCATATTTATGTCTGAAACTACCTAATGCAATATAGCTTTCTGACGTGACAGAGCATTTACCAGCTCTTCTTTAATTCTCAGAGTACAGTAACTTGATAAGTGATAGATCTGCTCCTTAATTATTTAAAATAAATAAAAGGAAGGATAATAAAGGATATGGAAGTGTTGCATAGGCAGATTAACAAACCAGCTTCTCTGTCTCAAAAATAAATACAAAATCACTTTGCTCGCTGTAACTTGGAGATGGCAAAGAAAAATATATTAAAAAGTGTGCATTTCTAAATGGATATAAGTTGTCTTTTAGAACTACATTCTTGTACCAACTTAAATTGAATTTATTATGTTCTGAGTGGTTTGGCCAATGAGTTTGTGGAATTTATTCTGTCTAACTTTTAAAAAGAAAAGTATCTCTACATGAAGAGAGCTTCATTATTTATATTTTGTTGCAAATACATGAATTATTAATTCTTTTTTGGTGGAAGAAGTTGATCGATGCCTAGAATAGATGGCTGAACTGAAACCTGTGGTATGTCTGCTAGGTATTAGGAATTTAACATTGATAACTTAGTTCTGGTTTAAAGGACAGTAATCCAGTTCCATTTCCTCAATGAGATTTAGGATTATTAGTGAACTAATTTAAATCTCAAGCTCAAAAAGGTGAGAATAGCCACTAGTTTTTAATACGCTATCTAGTATAATGTGGCTACTAGTGGTTACTAATTAAAAAGCTTAAGATCTTTTTTCACATGGGTTATTGGCACAAGCTAGTTTGCTGTATAAACAAAGTCATTTTAAACTAGTATAAAAGTCTCTATAACGGCTTTCATCTGTTTATCTAAGCAGTGCTGAACAGCAAGTACATTTTTTTTGTGTGAACAGATAGCAAACAGTTTTCCTCCCCCTCTTGTAACTGGAAGATGTCTTAAAGGGCACTGAAAGTAATGGTAATGGCATTCAACATGTAAACCAAGCTCATGATACAACATCAGTGATGTTCACCTTTAAGGATGTATGCTACCAATAAAATTAATCCCATCTGAAATGTAAACTGCATAAACTTAGTTAAATGTGGTAGTCCAAACTGGATTCATTTACCAGTGCAAAGGTAGGGAATCCTACCCACCCGTTCTATTCTTATTTACAGTGTGTATGGAGTTGAATTTTTCCCACCCTCCCTATAGGTTCCTGTTTCTCACAGATACATTGTTGGCTCTTAACAGTGGATCTTAACTTATGGAATTCCTTTACCTCAAATAAGTGACAGCATACAGTATTTTCTGAAGTCTGAGTCAATTAGATTGAAACTGTTAATCCCGAGTGGCTTCCTCTTATTTGTATTTGGCTCTTATTCTGTGAAAATGCTGCTTGTCCATGAATATGATGTATGTTGAGACTGTAAAACCAAATGGAGAAAATTTGTTCAAAAATAAAGCCTTTTTTAATAAGAATCTGACAAAAATTATCCCTTTCCTTTAGTTGGGATGCTGCTCTTTAAATGACTGATGAGGACATAGACTACGCATTTCAAATTCTCAGCTTTTGGCTCAAGTCACTTTCAAATGATACTTCGACTTGTTTTTGTAGGACTGGAGGAGCATGCCTTAAATATGTAACAAACAAAACAAAGGTATTTACTTGATAAAGCTGAACTATCAAGAGTGTAATGTGGTGTTGGTGGGTTGTTTGCTGTTTATTTTCCTAACCTGATAAGGGCTCTGGTTAAGTAGACTTGTAATTTTCTATTGTGTTGATCCATAGAGAACAAGAAAGCTCATTTTGACAGGAAAAAAAAAAAAAAAGTGTGTTGAGGAAACGAGCGACTGAGAAGGGACAATTTTTTGAAGGTGATTTTTTTTTTTCCCCAGTGTTGCATGGTTTGTACTGCAAAACTTTGGGAATGAAAACAACCATTAATTCCCTCTGTCTTACTTTTACAATTGCAGCTTGTACTGAGTATGCAGTCTTTAACATAGCAGAATGTGAACTGCTTTTGTATCAGGTAGGGAAAGTATTAATCACTGGATTCTCCAAGCACTAACTTAGGACAGTTCTGAAAATCAGTCCTGTTTGAGGAAATGTCAGAGCTGGAAAAAAAAAAAAAAATGATACCAAGTTGGCGTGTGCTCATGTCACCTGGTAAGAAAGTAATACCTAATAGGTAAGACTGTCATAGGAGAGAATACATTTAGCTGTGTTAATTTACTGCAAAGGTGAGCCTGAGGTATATACTATTGAGCGTAACTTTACATTGGAATGTGTGCATTTCCATTTAAATCAGAATTGCAACCAAATGCCTATAGAATAAATCAGCCTGTCTTCACACTGAAAAGATACATGATGCATCCTAACACTATGCACAGGTATTCTGAATTTATCCAATTAGCCAATTCTATTTACCGTATTATATTTACAAATGTCTCCTGTGTTGTTTTTTTTTGCAGTTTTCAATATGTGTATATAGGAAATGGAGCACATCTCTTAAACTGTGTGAATGATCCATCCTCGTCAGCAGTGTGCTCATCAGTCACAAACATCTGATCTCCTAGTTCTGAGTGTCATGCTTCATTTTCTGTGCTAGCTAACCTCTAGCAAGAAGAAAGAATAGCAAAGGACAGTGCTGTCCACAGCTGCACACAGTTTCAGCAGCTGCACCAGAGCTATTTTAGAAGCTCCCATCTTGTAAAGATGAAAGTTCCTGCCAAAAAGGTGTCAATTCAATTGCTCTGAAGTTTCAGCTGTAAATTGAGTTTGTGAAAACAATTTGAACAGTGAAAGCTACTAGACCGTATCTGCCAGCACACCAGCTCTGGTAGCCAGCGTCTTCATTTCACCGTATGTGAAGTGGGGGAGAGAGAGGTGATGGCTATTAGCTCTGTATGTTCATTGCACTCCGATGGTTGTTAGTTGAGTACTTTTCTCGTACCTTGAGTTTTGGTGGTTGCTTTCTAAACTAGATTGTTTTGGCAGGACTAAAGGCAAATACAAGTTACATGCATTCATATATCAGCAAAGCAGCATTGTGATAACTTCTGTTGAAATGGTGGCATTCAAGTGAGGCTTTGGGCAGTGATTTTTCAGGTGAGCTGTGGCCGTGTGGAACAGTTTGTGTGACTACAGTTTTCCCTTTGATTGAAGCATCTTCAAAATATTCAGAGTTCTGATGGTTGTTCCGACTAGGGAAAAAACTTAGAATCCCATATTCCTTTGAGGCAAGCTCATTAGTTTCTGAAGAAGGCATGTAGAGTGCTGTTTTCCTGAGCAGTGCTAGAGCACTGTAGGCCACTGACTTGCCTTCAGTTGTATTTCCAAAGCTGCTCTTTTGGTTAAGTCTGAAGGAATTAAAATAAATAAATAAAAACATTCCTGCCCTGGTTTTACTGGGCTATGAGACAAAGTGTGAATACAGGCTGTGCATAGCAAACGAGCCAGTCTCCCTGCCCCTCTGGTTTTCACAGAAAGCCCTATAGTCTGCCAGGTTCAGGCCTGCTATTTTTGCTGGCAGCTGGCTCAAAGCATTGCCACCTATGCAACTGAATTTTGGCTGTATTTCCAGCCCTTTTTCACTTGCTTCTTGGTGCTACCTGGGATTCCAAATAGGAGAAAGAAAAGACAAAGCTGCTTCCATTGCAGCCAGGTGTAGCAGCACACCTTCTGTGCCTGAGGAGCAACTCTGAGCCTGAAGAGCCAAAGGAGCAACTGCTCTCCTTTTCCTGCTATCTCATTTCCCCTTGAGAGCTAATATTTGTGTTTAAGAGAAAGTTGAGAAGCCCGCACAGCTCAGAACAGTCCTGTGTCTTTTAGTACTGTCTCTTCCTTCCTCCTTTTTCGCTAGTGAATGTGGAAGTGGCTTCATCCCTTCTTCCTCCTGTGCTGATGGAGAAAAAAAAAAAAATGTCCAACAGCTGCAAGAGAAAGGCTTGATAAAAGAACATTGAGGCAGTATGTGAAAAAGTGATTTCTGGACAAAGCGTAAGTATAAAGTGAGTAGACTGCCCTACTGGCTTTAAAGTTGTTGTGTTGCTGGGCTAGGGATGGGCAAGGGAAATTCCAAAATCTAAGGCCAAAATCTGACCAAGAAATAGCCTCATTAAGGTCTGGACCAGTTTTTTCATTCTGGAGGGCTTTGACTCATGACTTTTGACTCTTTCACATGACCATGTTGACCACAACAGAGATGTTTAATTGCCCTTCTTTGCTTAGCCTCCAAGGAAGGAAGCCTTTGGTCTTTAGCCAGCTATGCAAGTCTCAAACACACACGGTAGTAACTTTAACACTGTTCAGAAAGACTATCTTCAGCAGAGGGAATAGATTTGTAGATGAAGGCAGAGTAATGGATGATGTCTTTCCTGTGGGACTGTAGGTGACTTTAGCAAGGTTTCAGACAGCCTCTCACTCCATCCAAACTGTGTGCTTGCAGTTTGAATGGGCAACTCATCAAAGAACTGTCTGGGTCATTGGGCTTAGAGGGCAGTTAATAATGGTTCGTTCCCCATGTGGAGTTTAATTACAAGTGTAGTACCACAGGGGTCTGTCAGTACTAGTAATTTTCCTGTTGTACCAATTCGCTTATCAGTGACTTTAAGGAGAAAATTAGTATTATCTTCATCGGGCTTGTGAATGACACCAAACTGGGGTTGCACTCTTGACAAGTAGAGTGCAAAGCAGCCCTCTGTAGGTACCTGGATGGGCTGAAGGAATGGGCCAGCAGAAAACTTATGAAATTTGAACAAAGGCTTATGACAAGTCCTGCCCCTGGGATGGAGCAAGCCCCTGTCAGGCTGGGGAGCAGCCCTGTGGGGAAGGTCCTGGGGGTGCAGTGGGCAGCAAGCAGAGCAGGAGGCCACAGCATGTCCTGGCAGCAGTGAGGACCAACCTGCATCCTGAATAGTGCGACTGAGACAGTCAACAGCCTGAGGGAAGTCACTGTTCCCCTCTGCCTCAGTACTTGCTAGGCCGCATCTAGGTACTGCTTAGTGTTTTGGCTTCCAGTGTGGAAAAGTTATCAATAAATTGAAGTTGTTTGGGTTGGGAAAGGTCCAAGATAGCCAGGGGCTGGAGCAGTGGCCATGTGAGGAGAGGCTGGGGCCTGGCTCAGACAAGGGAAGGAGCAACTGTAAGGGAACCTAACAGCCACTCTATACCTGCAGGGAGGTCAGCAAGAAAAGAAGCCATGATCTTCACTGAAGTTGTCAAGTGAAAAGGGAGGTTCTAACTGAGTGCAGAGAAAACATTTCCCCAATGAGAATGGTTAGACACTGGACTGGCTGTACAGGCTGTGTTCTTGGAGGCTTTCAAGACACAACAGTACATAGCTTGAGCAACCTAGTCTGATCTCTGGGCTGACACTGCTTTGAGCGGTAGACTGGACTTCAGGCCCCTTCCAGCCAGAGCAATTCTGTGCTCCTCGTGTTAAACCTAAATCCTTATTGCTGCAACTTTGACCTACTCCACTTCCTCCTGAAGGAACTTGAAAAATTGTATATCCCCTTCCTTATTGCCCTGTAGCTAATTTGAGACAGTTCTGCCCATCTTCTGTTTTCTGGTTTTGGTTTTTTTTTTTGGTGTTTCCTCCCAGGTCACTCTCTACACGTTCTTGCTGCATACCTTGTTTCTATGTTGGCCATACCTCTTTTGGTCATACTTTTTTTGAAATGCAGCTCACCAGATTGGATACGGTACCTCAACTAAGCGCACCAGTGCCAAGTGCCATGTCTCCTGCAGTCTATATTCCTATTTGCATAACCCTGTATGATGTTTGTTTTTTTCACAACAGTGGGGCATTGCTGACTTACAGCAAGCTTGCGTGACACTATAATCATGCATTCCATTCTACAAAATTACTATCCAGATAGTGGTTACACGAGCGTTACACGAGTGGTCACATTGCTCCTGCCTGGCTGTAAAATTTTGCATTTGTCCTTATTGGCCTTATCCTACTCTGCCATCTCATTTCTCCTCTCTGTTAAAGATCATTTCAAACTATGATTCTGTCCTCGAACCTGTTTGCAGCCTCTCCCACTTGGTTAAAATAAAATCTGGTGTGGCTCCTCTTGGGATGCTTTTTTCTCCCTTTGTGTAAAAGCACTTCATGTTTTCATAGCTTCTGTGATAGCCACGAGCTCTCCTTTCCTAAACAGGCTCTGTGTACCACCGATGCAGCATTAGTTCTTTGGATGACTTCCTTTACCTGATGTTCTGAGTTCCTACTCAATAGCATTTTTTGCTCTTTGGTCACTGATTGCAGATGTTCAAGGGGTCTCTCCTTTGCATTTCAGTCTTCAGTGAATCTGTTCAACACTGACACAAGAAACGGCAATTTTTGCTTGCCATTCCTAAACAAGATGTTTATTTCTATATTAATATAGAAATACCTGTTATGCTGATCAAGCAATAACTTTGGTTGTATACTAGCCCCTCCTGAATTCCTCTTGTTCCTTAGGAGAAAAGTAATACAAAGTAATGGCAGATGTTCCTCAAACTCAGGAAATGGCTTAAGTGCTCCATGGTTCTGGCAGTGAATTGCTGATTTATAGAAGTTACTCACAAGGCCAGGTTAAGGATTAATCTAAGTGTCCCACTGATTTGGCTCAGTTATGGTGGTCTAATTAGGGTGCAGTCACAAAAAGTTTTGTGTATTCATTTTCTGTCACCATGACTATTGCTACTAATGTCAATGGGAAAGCGTGTCTGTGTCACTACAGATAAAAGTCTTTTTTTTTTTTTTTTAAGACAAAATTCTCGCTTCTTGTAAGTGTATACAGTTTACCCAAAGGATGAAATGCTGAGCACAGAGCTGTGGTGCAATTACAAATACCTCTAATTAGCCTCGCACATTATGTTCAGATAGTTTCCAGCACGCCTAGTGCTGTCACTTGGTCTTACAAGTTGTCTTTGAGGTGTCTGTTTCACAGTTTGAAAGATGTATCAAGTCCATCTGTGCTGTCAGCTTCATATCTCAGCACCCATCTGCCTGAGTTTGCAGTGGCTGCTGTAAGCTGACGCTTCTGAAGCAGAACGGCCAACTCTGTGCTTCTTCCCTCAGTCTGTCTGAAAAGCATCAAAGATAAAAAGGTACAGCTTAACCACCCCCCTCCTTGGGCTCTGCAGATATGCTGTCAGTTGGCAAACATTTGCACGAGTTTTTTTGAAGTTATGACAGTGTTCCAGGCACAAATATTCATGGATTCTTGTTTTGCTGTGCTCTGCTCAGCTGTGCCATTCTGTAGTCCAACAGTATCAAAAGTAAGCCAGGATCTGTTTCCACAGGCTCTTCCAGTGGTGCTAATGGTTACTTGTGCAAACCAAACTGCACATGCATATTTCTGACATAACTAGTTAGGCAAGCTGTGATTTAAAATAAGTAACAGCTGCACTTTCTAGCAAGTTGTTTGTTAGGAAAATGAGAATAACAATGTAGAATTAAAAGTAGGTTTGCATCTATTTTGGTCCAGAAAGAGACAGGGAAAAAGAAATGTTTTTTTCTAAAGTATGGATTTTTCTTGCAACCCGATTTTTCAGCATATACAAGGGAACAGCTGCCTTAGTTTTGCTGATTATTGAAAGCCGATATAAAATACCTGGCACTTCTCTTGTTTGTTCATTGGATCATGGAATGGCTTTGGTTGGAAGTGACCTTAAATATCATGGAGTTCCAACCCCTGCCATGGGCAGGGCTGCCCCCCACCAGCTCAGGCTGCCCAGGGCCCCATCCAACCTCGCCTTGCACGTCTCCAGAGATGGGGCACCACAGCTTCTCTGGGCAACCCGTTCTTAGTTGCTCAGTGGTTTTCCAGCTTTGTTCTTTATGTTTCATAGATCTCAGCCCACGTTTTTGTATTCATTTCCTTCACCGAGAGCCCTCTCTGTGCCCACACGACCAGCCGTTCAGCCTCAAACTGGCTACATCCAGTCATCAACTCCCTTCTGCCACTTTTACCACCCTGCTCCTTACTCCTTATTTTTATACAGCGTGCAATTATGATGTCATATGGCTATCTGTGGAGTGGCTGTGTATACAGATGGAGGCGTAATGCTGTCCCCCCTCCTTCCATTACCTAAAACACGTGAACACTGAAGGGTGAGCCACGTTCAAAACTACCTCAAATTGCCTTTCCAATGTGCATTCTCCACAGACGAAGCAGGCCTTACTGTTGGGCTCTCTGCAGCACTACTGGAATCTCATACATTTGGTTCTGCATGAGCTGGGGCACCGCATAGCGGACAAGCGTGACCCCATCGGTTTACATCAGGCGCCCCACAACCCCCGTGCCCCATCACAGCCTTCTCCCCCCCTTCATTCTATTTTCCCCCCCCCCACGGCGGGGAGCGGCACAGCGCCATCCCTGCCCACGCGCCGCAGGGGGCGGACATTTTCCTCCTCCGCTCCGCACCCCGCGCCATCTTACGATTGGCTGCCACCATCTCGCCGACGCCCCCGTGGCGACCAATCGCCGAGCGCCTCACCGCCTCCTCCCCCATCGAGGGGGCGGGGCTAAGAGGAAGGGTGGAGCCGAGGCGCGCCGGGCTCTTCTTAACGCGGTGGACGGGGCTACGCTCCTCGCCTGCAGCGGCGTCGGAACGCCCGCCCCGCCGGTGAGGTGGCGGCTCTCGGGGGGGGAGGGGTCGGCGCCCGCCGTTGCATCAGCCCCGGGAGGGCCCGCGTTTGTGGAGGGCGGCGGGGAGCGCGGGTGTGCTTTTTGTTTGGCTATTAATCAGAATGGATGGGCAGTAGGGAGGTCGGGGGAGGTGGAGGACTGGGATGCTCTCGGCAGCCTGGGCTCGGGGCGGGGGAGGAGGAAGGCTGCTCTCAGGATGGCTGCCAGGATGGCATGCTGCTCCTTGCTCTCGCATCTCCCTGCTACCGTCGGGGTCTCCTACGGGTCGGTGGTGTGTTGGTGCGAGCCAGGCTGAAAAACTCGTTTTGTTGCCTCTTATTTCGTGCGTTCCCATTCCCATGCTGGGCAAGATCTAATGCTCACAGCGACGTTAATTATACCAACGGTGGCATGGCTGAGCCAGCGCCGCTTGGCAGGTGGGTGACCCTCGCCTGTCCTCGGGTGGCTGCTCTCCCGTTCACCTTCCTCACCCCAAAGCCTTTGACCATGGAGGTTTGGAAGCACGCTGGCCCTGTTCCGGCTGAGCAGCTCGGCATGTACGTATTTACTTTTCAAACAAGGCTGTTTGCTGAGTCCAGATACAAGCCCTGCCTTCCAACAAACTTCTCCTGATCACAGGAGGGAGCACCTGGGCTGTGGAGATGGGCAAACCTGAGCCAGGGGAGGAAGGGCCTCCTGTTAGACCCCAGAGCGTGCTGTTTCATGGCTGGGATACATCTGCAGCGAGATGGCTGCTAATAGAGGAAGGCAGAGATGCTAGGTGAGGCCTAGCGTTCTGGCAAGCCCTCTTTTTTGGCAACTTCTTGCTACCCCACGGCATCCTCTGGGCTCAGCCAAACCTGCTTTCCACAAGCCAAATCAGTCCTAAAAACCGTGGTGGTAGCAAGGTTGGTCGCTGAGGCCCTGTTGCGGGCCTGCCAACTCAGGTACATAATTAATCTGCTGGCAGCTGGCTGCAGGGAGGGCCTGGGCCGGCCCTAGTTGTTGGCAGCTGCCTGCTGCCCACCTTGAGAGGTCATCAAGTCTCCTTTTCTGGAGATATTCAAAATCAACCTGGATGCTTTCCTGTGTAATCTACTATAGAGAACCTGCTTTAGCAGGGGTTTGGACTAGATAATCTCCGGAGGCCCCTTTGCTATAGTTCTGTGACTGAAAGGAGCACTGTGCCTGCCAAAGGCCCTGTTGATGTACTGAGACTGAGTGGCTTCTGGGTATTGCCACAGGTGAGCCCCACAGGGACAAGCAGTCCCCTCAGGCTGGATGTGGGTTGTGTGCTCTGGGCTGAGGGAACAAGAGATGGGGAAGCAATACTAAAACTTGTGGCTGTAGCAGGTAAAAATCTAGATGAGACATTCTCCAGCCTTTTCTCTAGTGCTGTTTTGCTCCTCAGGTCTTTTAAATGAAGATTCGTGTCTTATGAGGTGAATCCAGGCAGGTTGGAGTGAACTCAGGAAGTGGAGGCGCACCTCTTCAGGGCTGCTCACAGTGTTCCTCTTTGTGGAAAAGGAAGGCTGAACACTTCATGTTTTCACTAGCTGATCTTATGCACGACAGTTGGCAGAGTGATGGGAATTGCTTTGCTGTTGTGAAATCCTAGAGAGGCAGGGGCATGAAAGGACCACAGCTTTCCTATCAGCAGGTTGAGTATGCCAGTCCAACCGTGAAGAGTCCTCACTGAGAGGATGCACAGAGATGAGGCTTTTGATTCTTGCAGCATCTCTTCCTTATGGTAGTGTTCATTCATATCCATTTATTCCAAGTCCCTTGACACCTCCAGACACAGGAGAGATGGCTGGCTGCTACTAAACAAGAAGCAAAGCACCGTAAGAAAAACTCAGCTGTCTAGTAGTCTCCTGAATTAAAGAATTGTTAAGGTTGAGAAGTTCACTAAGATCAACTAGTCCAACCACCAACTCATCCCCACCACATCCACTAACCGTGTCCCTCAGAGCCACATCCTTGAACACCCTTAGGGACGGTGATTCTACCACCTTCCTGGGCAGCCTGTGCCACTGCCTCACCAAAATATAGCTGTGGTGTTTCCAAACAGCTTTCAAAGGCTGTTTAGGTACTGCTACTTCTGGTAGCCTTTAGAGATCTGGTACCACAGAGCAAGCAGAACAACTGGTTTTAGGTGGTTTACTCATTCATGTACCTGCTTAGCATCAAAGTTTACCATTCTCAGGCTACAGCATGGTCGTATCTCATCTTTGGTTGAGCAGTCAGCCCTTAGGGCATCTCCCTCTGATCCATCTTGTACACCTGCCTTTAGACAGCTTAATTTTGGCTTCAGACACGACTGGAGTTAATTAGGTTCTTGCACATGTGATACTCTGTACATGTCTGTATTAGTGCTGACATGGTGTACTGTAAACAGCTGTAGAAACTGTAGCTCCTAACATCTGTGGAACAAGTTCAACCCAGGTTGTCCAGGGATTAATTTCACCCACTGGCTTTCAATGCTATTCCCTGTCATTTTCTCGTGTAGGAATTGAAGAGTACTTCAGATCTTGGGCTCCCTGTGGAGATTGATGCTGAGGTGTGGCCTTATCCATGAGGCTTTCTGAATCTATTACATGTGTCTGTGCCCCAGTCTACTCCATGCTTTAAGTTTAAGCGACTGTGTGTAATTTGGCTTTCTAATTTTTTCTGCCTTGCGTGCTCTGCAGATATAAGGGCAGAAGTTAGTCAGGCTTTTCTACCCAGGCTCTGCCCACACCCCCAGCTATTTCTGGGAGCGTTTACTTTTATGGCAAACCTCAGTTCAAGCTGTCAGAAGTTCCCTCCTGAAGATGGGCAACTCTTTCTGCAGTCCACCAACCTCTGGGTATGCCAAGCAGTGTTCATTCACTGTTCTCTTCTCTCCCCTGTCTGTGTGTCCAGGAAAGAATCTGAGAAGGGGGTCAGGATAGCGAGGAAGTTGCTGTCTTCTTTTGTTTTTGTAATTTTTGCTCATCCCTTTTTCTTTGTCCCCCAAAGATGTCCCCACTAGGAAGGTTCATGAGCTTCCAGTTTTCTGGTTTCTTTGGGTGAATCTGGTTGTCCTGTGCGGACATCTGCCCCATATTTTGCTAGAGTTGCCTTAGATTAGGCTGGAAGTGCCAGAAGGATGTTTGGGGTGGTGTCTAAGGAAGTTCATTGGTAGGATTGCAGGAGCTTGGAGAGCTGAGGTCTTCCTCTTGGTTCAGAACAGAGCCAGCCACTGGGCTCTTGTCTTCTTCTGTATGAAGAGCAACAAGCCATTGCTGCTGCTCATAAGACTTCACTGAGCACTGTGGTAAGAATTCCTGAGTTTGTAAGGGGATTTTGTCCTTCTTCAGCATCTATGACATTAGATTGACCATAGCTGTGACTGATTCTCTACCATCATGATTAGAACTTGACTTTATAAATGTATATGCATTACCTGTAGACTTTGAATTGGATGAATCTGAGGCTATTTAAAATCATGTCTAATAAAGCATTTTGAAGGGAATTGTTGAATGGGGGCCTGTGTTGATTCTGGTGGATGATATTGCTTAATATTGGTATTTGATGACAAGATTTTTGTTGGTTAGGTTTATGGCTAGGTTTTTTTCCTCTTTGGCCTCATTTTTGTTGAAAGTTCTAGTCCCATGACCAAGCTTTGATGAAGCATCAAAGTATTTCTCTTCCTCTAAACGCATGAGAGAATCTTACATCTTAGTTGAAGGCAGTAAATACAGCTTTTCCTCTATGCCTGCTTTTTCTAGCTCAAGAAGTGATGGGTATTTCCTGCAGTGGATTTTTTGTGGACTTTTTATTTTTTTCCTTATAATAGAAGAAATACAATGGCATTTCCTCTATACAATACCATGCCCAGTTTAGAGGGTCTCCTTCAAAAGGCAGCTTTTGAAGACAGCCATATTCACTTCTTTCCTGCAGGCAGTGCAAAGAACAAGTACTTACTTCTATAGATCTTTGAAATTTGTACTGCCACAGATTTCTCTCCCTTTCTCCAAAATTTTGGGGCCATATTGCAAGACACCAAGGTGTGGTGACTTAGTCTGATTTTTTCACCCCTCTGTTTTATAAGAGCATAGAATCGTTTGAGTTGGAAGGGACCATTACAGTTAATCTAATCCAATTCCCCTGCAATGAACAGGGAAGAACAAATCTGCATCCTCTCTATAAGCTGTTGCTGCTACCTTTCCATGTGTTGAAGAGGTGTGATCCTTTCACAGCAAGGTATCTTTATTAGATGGGCTTTGTAACTATTGCCAGCATCTATGCCCACTATCGTATCCACTGTCTTGAGCTCGTACATGTGGCTTGGGGAGAGACACTTCTTCAGTACTTTTGCTTTACAAAAACAAGTGTTGTTCTGAACTGTGAGCCAGGCATCTCCTAGAAATAGAACTGAGGCTTGCTGTGGAGCTAGAAATAAACACTTCTAGTAACAAAGACTGATAGTGTTAAATTATGCATGTTTATGGTATATGAGCTCTCTTGGACTGGTGTCTCTCAATCTAGTCCTCATTTGTAGTCTAATAGAGGCTGCAGCCTGTCTTGGCACTTGAGCATATATTAACCCAAATAAAGCAAAGTGGTATTATTTTGGTAGCATGGAAGTTCTTACATCAAGATGTTGAATTATGTCAAGCCTTTGTCTTGAAAGCTAGCACTTCCAGAGACTTCTTTCATAAAAGGAGGCAGTTTAAATGCCATGAGCATTTTCTTTTCTTCAAACCAGCATGTGAGAAAGGAATAGGTATGTATAAAGCAGTAGTGGTTAGTGGTGCATGTTAACTTGCAGGATCAGATGCTAAAGTTCACTGATCCTGTGATTAGATGTTTTCCAGTCTGCCAGCAGACCATCAACACTGCCTGTCTAAGCTGTGTCTGTTTTGCAAGCATTTGGCAGAAGTGTGGGGATGAGAACCTTTCCAGGTCTGGCACAATTCAGTAACACAAAGAGCCGTGAATCCTGCTGCAAAAAAGTGATGAGTAAAACCACATTTTGTAATACTTAAGCCACATATTTACCTTCAGTGATAGTAAGGAAGCTGGCTGGGGTAGGAGAAATGAATTTATTGCTTTCCCTTGTTATTCACAAATTTCTCAATCGTGTAACAGCTTACTGAGCTGCCTCATGGTTGAAGTGTTTGTGTGCTGCATCCCTGTATTTGCACGTTCAACATTAATTTGGTGTTAAGAGGAACTTATGAGTTCGGTCTCTTTCTCTTCACCCTTGAGAAGTCATCATATGTTCCTGTTCAGAGCCTTTTTCTAAATTGTATACAGGATTTTTTTGGTGTTTGCCCTGTACAGCCTTTTCACCCCTGATGTCCCTGCAAGAATATATCCTGTGGACTGAAGTATTTTCTATTACTCTTTCTGGCTACCAAGCTTACAGAAGTGCAGACAATCACTAAGAGTAATTTTCTGCTGCTTTCATGGAGGTGGGCTATGAGGACAGGGCAGAGTGTAGAAGAGGTAATGCAGGAAGAATAGGGTCAGATGGCCCTCCATTGCTTTTGTTCAGTACTTCTGCTGCATGGCTCTCTTTATCCTGCCTATACAACTCAGCTTCACTTTGTTTGGCATTTTTCTCTTCCTACCACCATAAAAGTGGGATGAGTATTGTTTCCCTAAGAGAGACTGTTTCCTGATGGTGTTTTTTTTGTTTTTTTTTTATTTGTAGGATCTGCAGCTTTGAAGAAGATTCCAGTCGCGTGACCAACTGTACTTTCTCCCAAAGAAGGTCCAGTCTACTGTGCCTTTGCTTAAGAAAATGGAGAAGCTGATATCAGAGAAGCCTGTTCCAGTATCTAAGGTACATTTTGGTCTTTGGGGACAACTAATTTGCTTATCTTTCTCACTGGAATTTAGGGAAGCTCTGTCTGCTTTCAGAGGGATTTGTAGTTTTGTGGGGTTTGGAATTTTTTTGAGGCAGATGCTGTTGAACCCAGTAGCCTTTGTGCAAGAGTTGTCAAGATCACAAGTAGCTGTGGAGTCTTTTGGCACCATTTTCCAATTAGCCATGGAGTAGTCTTCCTCTGTTTCTCTCTGGGGGCTAGCTTTTTGTATAGGAATAGTGTCTCCCACAAGATCACACTGCTCTTTTGAAAATCAGCACAATGGTAATTTCTGTTTGGGTAGGCTGCCCTCAGAAAAACTGCATGCTGAGACACTGGAGAAGAAAGATCAGTTGATAAAGAGACAGAACCAAGAATAAGGACTCCTTATGAGTAACACAACTTTTAGCTATTGTTGGGGTAGGCGGTTACAGGGCAATTACATGAATGAGGGGTTGCCTGTGCTGCAGAACTTGAGCAAGTTTGATAGTCTCAAGAGATACTCTAGCCTCATTACATCAGGACATATGAATCACAGCAGACTCTAATCTTTTTCTCTTGAAGGATGAAATGCATTCCCTTCCTTCCCAGGCCAAGCCAGATACAAACTCATGCCCTCATGCTTCTGGCAAATACTTCCTTCCTGGTGGGACAGACCATGAGGACTGTAAGACTAACGAGAAGGAAAGGAAGTGGATCCGTCCTGATACACCCAGCAAATGCACGTGGAAGCTTGGGAAACCCATTTCTGCCTCCCCCCATCGTCATATGTCTCTGTAAGTATTACTTTTCTTTGCTTGCTAGTTTTCAACGCAGGACTTATCCTGTGCTATATGAATTTAACAAAAAGTGACCGGTTTAAACTGATGCTGCTTGCATGTAGATATGCTGGTGCTTCTTAAGTTCAATGCATAAACAAAACTAAGAACCCAGACTAAGCATGCAAGGGGCCTTGCACCAAAGAAGTTATGTGATCTGAAACTACGTGCACTGGAACTAGATTACGTGAAGTAACCTGGCAAGCAATTCTCTGACTAGATGTACAATTGCACTGTAATTGCTTGTAAAACAGCTGACTGTGAGCAGTGCTGTACTACTTGTGCCAGGAAGAAGTTCAGAGCACATAGTTCTTGCTTCAGTACTTGGCTTGATGTATGATTAATCCTAGAGTTCTGGATCAGGCACATGTCTTACAAATTTATATCTAATAGTTATTTTGGTTTAAGAGAATGTTTAGGTCTGCTAGAAAAGGGAGAAAGCTGGATGTAATGAAACATCAGAAACACTTTGTGTTGCTACTCTGTGAACTGCTTTCTGATTTTGTTTGTCTGTGTGCCAGGCCAGAGCCTCCAAACATTCTGCCCAACATTTTGAATAAAGTTGGCAACACACCGTTGGTGCGGATCAACAAGATTGGGAAGCACTTTGGGCTGAAGTGTGAACTCTGTGAGTACTACTGCAGACAGGAGAAAGAAATGAGAAACACTGTTATGGAAACACAGGCAATTCCACTTTGTAGTGTTGTGGAACTCGGACATAAGAGGAATGCAGGGACTCTTTAGAAAATGGAATTAAAATTCCTTTAATTTGGCAGATTTTCAGGTTTTTTAAGTTTTGTTAATCTAAAATGTCTTCCAATTTGCATTTTATTACAAGGATTCTCTCTGCAACTTTTCTGCTTTGTTTGAGAATTATTTGTAATTTCTAATACCTGTAGTTTTCACTAGTGCACTAAGTGCAGGATCTGCAAGTTGTCACTAAAGATCAAAGAAAATGATAAAAGGATTAAAAGTGCCTCATTTAAACCTTTATTTAAACTGGAGATATCTTGAGCCAAAACACATCGGTGATGTGAATAGAATAGAACTCTTCATGTGAAGGGAATCCCCATCTCTGCTTCTGTATATGGAGTGGTGAACTGTGCTAGATATGTTAACAATTGCTCTAGCAGATGCGTTAAATTCAGCAGCAAGTTGCTGTTTAAGAACACTGCTTGGTTTCTTTGCTTCCAGTGGCAAAATGCGAGTACTTCAATGCTGGGGGCAGTGTGAAAGACCGCATCAGCCTGAGGATGGTAGAGGATGCTGAGAGAGCTGGGATCTTGAAGCCTGGGGACACAATCATAGAGCCAACCTCTGGAAACACAGGTAGAGGTCCTAGCAAAGAGTGGGGAAGATGTTTTTGTGGCTTTCCTGGAGGAGGCAGACCTGAGACCAGAGTATGGAGGGTGCCTGTGCAGAGGGGAGAAGTGTTTCTTCCCTTTTATGTAAAACAAACAAACAAACAAATAAAAACCAGGAAAAAAAACCCACAATTCTGCAGCGTGCTATGCTGACCAGAACAGCAAGGAAGGAAGTCTGTGTTTGCAGGGGCTCTTACCTTTATTTTATGTTAAGTTTTTTTTTAAAGAAAAGTATTAGGCGAGATTAACTAGGGTCTCTAAGTTCTACTCAGGAGTTCAACTAAAACTGTTGGAAATCAAGCCCCAAAAGACTGGTGTAAGTCTGATCTTCTGTTTCGAAAGTCACATAGTCCTTGGCCATGCAGTCTCTCAGATGAGGTTGGCCTGGCCTGAAAATTGGCCTTTCCCTTAGTGGTGCAGTTAAACTGGGAGACAAGCAGCATCCCTACTGCCCTGTTTGTTGACACAGCCCTCGCACTCCTAGATCTTCAACAGGTTTCCTTTGGACCAGCATCTCCTTGGAAGGCTGGTGGAAGGAGCAGTCCCACCACTCAGGGGCTAGGGAAGAGCATCTGATGACCTGAGCAGGCTGGAGTTCAGTGGGCTGCTGCATTGAAGCTGCTGTTCCTCTGTCAAGCTGTTCTACTAATGGAGAGTAAACATAGGAATGCTCTGCCCTGAGCTAGTTAAATATAAACACAGTGTCCTCCAAGGGAGTCTGTGAGATGTGCTACAAGCTGCTCCCCTATCTGATATATCTCTGGACAGGTGTCACTGGATGTCTTGACCTGTTTTTAAGCTCTTTTCTGGGCATTCACTACTTGCTGATACACACAAGTTAGCTAGGTCAGACAGATTTTTCTTGTGTTATTTTCTTCCAGTCCTTGTTAATGGAGTCACTGAGATGACTGAGCTGGTGCACGAAAACATATGAATATGTTCTACAACAGAAAACTGGGAAGTCATATCTGTTGCCAGTTGCTCAGCAAGAGCTCTGTAGGGCTACAGTACAACTGAAGCCCTTAGGAATGAGTCTATACTTGCATGTAATGGACAATATCCACATATTGTGTTCTTCTAGTATCTAAGGTCATACTATGACATCTTATTTCAGTGTTGCACCTGATAAGTAGTTTCTTTTGCATGGATCCTGAGAAGTAAAAAGAAAGCAAATGCAAGGGGGATACAAAGCAATTACTTTGAAAGCTGTCTTGATGCACTGAAAAGTAAAGACCGGGGAGGAGAGTGAAGTGAGGAAATTACCTTGGCCTCGGGCCACTGCTCTGAGTGTCTAATGTGTCAGATTTCTTTCTTCACTGCATCTTGCTTTTCCCTCAGCAAGAGTCTTATTTTGATGTTTGATGGACTTTCAGGTCAGTATCAGAAAGTGCAAAGTACTAGTTTAGGTCTTAGAATGCTTTCTTCATCATAGACTGTAGTCTATGCTGCATGGTTTCTCTTCAAGCTTTGGCACTATTAGGTTCAGTGCTGTCTTGCTTTACTTAGTTCTGCTACCTGCATTTATCTGTAATGCACTGGAAGAGGATTTATTTCCACCTCCTTTTAAAAATTAAATAAATTTAAAGGTATTTGAATTACCTATGATTTTTTTAATATGGATTTTTCACCCCTATGCAGTCCTGAACCAAGCAGAAACAGAGGCTGCTTTGGACTCTGTAGAGTATGTCATGGGCATATGTTGATACTGTGCCTGGTACCCAAAACAGCAGGGGAGGTGCCGTGCAGCCCTACCTCAGATCGCTTATCGGCTGCCTTGATCCATTTCTTCATTTTGCAGGAAGTAATATGATAACAAGTGTAAGCATCTTAATGGGGAAGATATTTCTGAGTTTAACTGCTCAAGTAGGCAGAAATCAGAACTGATGAAAAGGCAGAGATCAGACTGGAAGTGCAGACTTTTAAACTGGAATTGAAGTGTCTTTAACAGTCTAGGTGTTTCATTGTTGTAACAAGTTGATGTAATACATTACAGCCACTATCACACAAAGAATCTAAATCTTGTTGGTTTAGAAAGGAATTAGTTTAGGAACATTGCAAACTGGGGATTTAATGCTGAGTGAGTAATGCAGAATAATAGGGGATTTAATATTCATACCATCAAAAAGATTGCTCCAGGTCCTCTTTAGCTTAAAATTCATTCTTTTCATGAGATTCTTCTGGAAAAATGTTGAAATGGCAAACAGGCAAGAGGAAGGTGAAATGCAGACCACTGGCTTTCCCATGTGCACATGTTGATAAATACATACATAAAAATATGTATTTCCACCACCCTCAGCTGAACTTTCTTTGGGCTGTGGTCTTCAAAGAAACAGTGTCTGTAACTCCTTCTCTTTTCAGAAGCCAGAAACTTTGTTACTCCCCTCTAAAGAGCTTGTACTCAGTCTCTTTGAGAATCTGATTAAAGCGAAGGCATGCCAAAGCTGGCGTTGTGGGTTTTGGTTTTTGTTCCCTCTCACCTAATGCTCTTCATGTCTCTGCTTGCTTCCAGGAATTGGGCTGGCCTTGGCTGCAGCAGTGAAGGGTTACCGCTGTATCATTGTGATGCCAGAGAAAATGAGTCTGGAGAAGGTCAGATGTGCTTTTATTTTTGAGAGTTTAAAAAGTAAGTTTGCTTGCACTCGTGGAATTCTTCATGCAAATGAGTGCTGTGGCTTTAGCAGTGATGCAGACTCTTGGGCTCTAAATTGCTGCCCAAAGAGACTTCTGCTGAAGGGCTCTTGCTAGTGCCAAGAGAGATCTTGGCTGGACAGCCATGGACAGAATTGTGTTTAGGTCCTGTCCCTGCAGCATTGGAGAACTGTCATCACAGGTATCAAGGGAACTTGAGATCTACACTGCAGATTAAAGTGACTACCTGTCCCTGGGTTAGCTGTCCTCCAGTGAGCAAAGGAGGACAAGGGAAGGCAATGGCTGAAGCTTCAAATGTTCTTTGGTTCTGCAAGGCTGAGCCTTGGGCAAGTCTGCTTGGCTTTTTGAGTTAACACACTGAGAGATGCTGGCAAGGATCTGAATTGTGTCATTACAACTCAGGAAGGAGAATGCCCACTTACCTTGGGAGTGAAAAAGCAGAAAACATCTAGCTCTAGAGCAAGCCTTTTTCAGGCTTCCACCTAGGGTGATACCGTACCTGAGAGTGAAGAAGAGGTCTGGTGTCTCACAATTGAAGAAGCAAATCAGTGTCAGGAAAATCACTTATCTCAGTGACACAAATGAGAGCAGCCATGAACAACATCCCCTGAAGGGATGCCCATTACTAGCCCTGGAAGGAAAGGTAATGCGTGGCCGTTGCCATGGTCCACAGAGCACCAAATGCTTCCCTTCTGAAGACAGTCCTTGCTCTGCCTGACTGTCTTGCCCTCATAATATTTGAGCAGTACATAAGGACATGGAGGATCTCCTTTGCTGCCTGTGTCTGAAGAAGGAGGTAAATAAACATGGTTTGGTTTTAGATTAAAAAACAAACAAACAACAAAAACAAAACAAAAGGAGGGCTTATAGCACTGTTAGAGATCAGAGCATATATGACCAGCACAAGACGAGACAGAGTTTTGCCTCAATGAGGTTCTTCAGTATGGAGTAATAATACCTACAGACTCAAACACCCAGAATGACAGCAGGAATTTGACATTAAGCTCCCAGGTAAAGCTTCTGGTTTTTCTGATAGTCTTTGTTTGCTACAGGTGGATGTCCTGAGAGCTCTGGGTGCTGAGATTGTAAGGACCCCAACTACTGCCAGATTTGATTCTCCTGAATCTCACGTGGGTGTAGCATGGAGACTGAAGAACGAAATCCCCAATGCACATATCTTAGACCAGGTAAGAACAAAGTGTCAGAGATGTAAGTGTATCACAGCAAGAGGTATTGCTGTGTCGGTCCTTATGTCCATGGCTGGAAGTTCCTACAGTGTAGGGGTATCTGTGAGGGAAAAATGACCCACTGGGTGGTCACTGTGCTGTAGGGTAGTGAGCTTCTATATTCACTAGAGGGCAGCATTAAGCCTATGTTTGGAGAAGCTAGAAAAAAAATGTGGGTTTCTCTACTGCATTAATAGTACCTTGTGGAAGAATTGGTACGAGGGTCAGCTTTTTAAAAGAAACTGCCCCACAGCTAAGTCTGATTTTCGTGTTGGAGATTTGCTGGTAACTCAGAAATACCCTTATGGCAGATCATCTATGGAGGATGTACCTCTCTGCAGGCATTCTGCCTAGGTCCAGATAAAGAAACAGCCTGGAAAGTGTGTGTAGCAGCTGTGGGGTTTGAAGAATATTTGTCACGTTCTTGAAATGTCTAATGCTGTAGGTGTTTTTTTTTTGTCTACTTAATTACAGTACCGTAATGCCAGCAATCCCCTGACACACTATGATACTACAGCTGAAGAGATCCTGCAGCAGTGTGAAGGTAAGACTGTTCTGCTGCTGGCCTCTTCTTTAATGAGTCTTTCATATTCTTTGTTGTTACGTTCTTGGAGAATGGACCTGAGATGGTTAATTCTGTGTGTCATTAGAGATCTGCTTTACTCCATTTCTCTTACTAATAAACTATTTTCCATTAAAGATGGATGCTTTGTTCTTAAGGTTCTCCAGATGGAGAAAATAATGATACTTAAATCATGTATGAGGGGGGGAAAAAAAACAAAAAACAGAAACGTATACCGAGAGTAGCAAGAAAGGATTGTTTCTTTTCACCTTGCAACACAAAATTAGGTTTTTTTGCATTCTCAAACTAAATGCTCCATTGCACTGAAAGCTCCTTAAGACAGAAGACCCTGGGAGGACAAATTGTTCTACGTTGCGACTGTCACCAGTAAGACCAGTTTTCTCTCTTGGGGTAATTTCCATTTAGCTCTAGGCAGCCTAGCTGGAGTACCAGAAATGACTGAAGTGTGGCAGCAGAGAGCTTCAGCCGAGCTAACACCCTGGTGAGGACCCCAAAAGCTATTGGAGGCATTCAGTGTGATTCTGCAAGAAAAGACCATATATGAGGCTACTGACCTGCCCTGTTAACAGTACAGTCAAGCTTTTTTGATGGGACCCTGACCACTGGCATAAGAAATTCAGTTATTTTGTTTCTTCTAATGAAAGTGAGGACTGTGCGAAGAGTTCTTTTCCATCCCTCCCAAAAAACCCATCCTTCTAATTGTTCAGAGGATATAGTTTGTCTTTCTGTGACAAATGCTAAGAAATTTCAAAGTGAGTGTATTTTAACGAACTGCCATTCCACAAACCTAGAGTCTGGATGAGTTCTACCTGTCTGCTTCATTACTCTCCTGTTTCTACTTATATTTCCTTATAGATCAAGAGCAGTTCAGTTGTTATTACTGAGCTTAAACCAGTTTTGCTCTGAACTGAACCTGCTTAGTGCAGCGTTGTTCTGTTGACTTGAAGGCATTTGGCTTTGTATACAAACTGACCTTTTAAAATGTGCTTTCCTCACAAAATTATCAAGTGTGTGCACCAAGAAAACTGTGGTGACTGACAGAGGAATGAACTGTCATACCTATGATAGCTCTGCTGACCACTTGTGACCAAAGCAGAATATGAAATAAGAGAGTAGTAGTGTCAAGCTCTCTCAGTGAACATCTACCCTTTGCTCTTGCCACTCATTCAGTAAATTAGCTTACAAAATGTGCTACTCATTCTAAGTTCAATAATGAATTATTCTTTATCAACAAATACAGCAACGGGAAAAGTATAGGTATCATCAACTCAGTGGACCACCTCTTAGCTCTGCCTGAAGGCTGACAAATTGTTGCCTTGTGGGCCACTGAAGGACATTTCAAAGCCATTTTTTCAGTAAATGGGGATGAAACAAGATGATCTCATGATAGATCTCATAATACAGTTCTTAGGAAGAAAAAAGCTTTTTGCCCCTTTTCTGCTGCTTTCTGTGGTTTTGTTATATCAAGTCCACACTTAACTGTGAGTTTTTAATCCATCATCCTCAGGAAATGTCACAACTGCCTTTTCTTTCTCACCGTCAATCAGGGAAAATAGACATGCTGGTGGCTACAGCTGGTACAGGAGGTACCATCACTGGCATCTCCAGAAAGCTGAAGGAGAAGTGTCCAGGTTGCAAAGTAAGTGGCAAGCCTAAAGTATGTCTATAGCTTCAAACTGCTCTGCTTCTTGGTGTATCCCATTCCTTGTAAGCCTGTCCTGGGTCTCTGAGAGAAGCTCTTTTTTCAGTTGAAAGTAGTTCTGAGCAGCGAAGAAATGTTTTCAGGCACTGTCTGAAATCATTATGCTCTGGTCTTGCTATTGACTGGAGTTCAGGTTTGGCTCAGCAGGTGAAAACTGGCCCTCAGTTTCTTTCATGGGATGTTTGATAAATGTCCTTCGCTGGTGTTCACAGCAGCCTTGTGATTTCTTCCTGACCATGGCTTGGCTTCTGACACTTTCTGGAGTGCCTGAGTTTTTTGCCAAGTGAGTCTTCCTCTGAACAGACCAATGTGTGTATGTGTACTAGTGTGCAGTTTTAGATTTCCTCACAGAAGCTGGCATCCAGTTTCAGTCGTTAATATTTTCCCATATAGTCAGAGAGGGAGGGGGAAAAATAATAATAATAAAGCTTGTATTTCAAGCCAAGCATAGGCACATATTGACTGCAGTGACGCCTGATGTGAATGAAGACAGTTTTGTCTTGGAAACCCTTTCCTAAACAAAACAAAACCCTTGTAGAACAAGTAGTGCCTCTCACTTAATGTCCACGGCCTGAGGAGACCAGATGGGTTGCCCAGTGGTAAGAATCACAGAATCATTAAGGTCTCTAAGATCACCTATTTCAACCGTTGACACATCCCCACCATGCCCACTGCCCGTGTCTCTCAGTGCTGTGTCTCCACATTTCTTGAACACCTCCAGGGACGGTGAATCCACCACCTTCCTGGGCAGCCTGTGCCAGTGCCACACCATTATTCCTGAGAATAATTTTTTCCTAATATCCAACTTAAACAGTAAAGCATTTTGCTTGGAGGGGAGGTGAGAGTTGCGAGGCAGACATGAGCAGCAGACTAGTCTGCTGTCAGTTGACTGCATGTGGAGCCAGCAACACCAACAGCTGTAATAAAGCTAAGTGCTTGCTTGTAGGTAGCTGTGTTCTTGAACACAGTGTGTCATGGTAGCCAAAGTGAAAACTGCTTCTCTAGATCATAGGTGTTGATCCTGAAGGCTCCATCCTTGCTCAACCGGATGAACTGAACAAGACCGACAAGACAATGTATGAAGTGGAAGGAATTGGATACGATTTTGTTCCCACAGTGTTGGATAGATCTGTAAGTCATTCTTCTTGGTTTCCTGACCTTTGCCATCTGTTGGTTGTGAGAGAAGAAGAAACCTTAGGAAAGCATTTCTTTGAGCTTAAAGGGGAGAGCTGGTAGGCAGAATGATTCCTATTCTTTGTCATCAGGAAAAGCTGTTCTCAGATGGCTTTTGTACCCTGTGCATTTGTCTTGAAATATTAGGAGAAATGCTGTGAAACAGATAACAATTTTATACAACATAGTAATTTAAAAAAAAAAAAAAATCCAACACTCTCCCTCAAAAGTGGTATGGCTATGTCCAGGCCTGAGCATAAGCTGTGTCCCTAGGAAGCCCTCCAATGGGGAGGAAACAAGTTGATACTCTCTGGCTGTCTTATAACAGATTTCAGTAAGGAGATTGCAGTGCCAGAGAATGCAGAGGGTCATCTTCCCTCGGCAAAAAAAAAAAATTTTACTTAGCATTTGTAGGATGGAATCCTAAGCACGTGGCTCAGTATGACAGCCTTTGGCTCAAAGAGCATGGGGTTGAACTTATAGTGTTGTTCTGTAGCCCCCCCTTCCATATCCCTCCTCATTTAAAGAGACCCTTGTTTCTGTCTTCCTGCTCCCAGCTGGTGGACCAGTGGTACAAGAGCAATGATGAGGAGTCATTTGCTTTAGCACGCATGCTGATCCGAGAGGAAGGACTGCTGTGTGGTAAGAGCAGACACGAATCCATTGGGTTCCTCTGAATAATACGTGGGAGGCTAAAGCCTTGTGTGGTTCACAGAGACCTCCTAATGCTTCAGAAGCTGTCTTCCTCACTTTGGGCTTCTCTGCTGACTCTCCTCCTCTCTTTCGTTCTTCTCATTGCACGCATATTCTGACAGTTTTGCCTCTGATATGCATTTCGCCAGGTGGCAGCTCAGGCAGCGCAATGTCTGTAGCTGTGAAGGCAGCCAAAGAGCTGAAGGAGGGTCAGCGCTGTGTTGTTATCTTCCCTGACTCTATCAGGAACTACATGTAAGAACCTGCTTGTTGTCTCTGTGGGAAAAGGATGAGGCAGTCCCTCAGACCTTCTTACAGCAGGGGCAAATTGAATGCATATCTATTGTAGAACCAAGTTGCTAAAGCAAGGAATGTGCTTGGGCACAACTTCTGTGGTATCCAGAAAAGGTCTGACATGGAGCCCTATGAAAGCAGAGCTCCTCCTGGTGTCTCATTTGAGTATATAGCCATAACTGGTTAGTTAAGGTCTTCATGGAAAAGATTTGCTCTCAGTTAAATTTATTTGAGGCCATTGGTGTTATTCTGTTCCCAGAAGAATCTCTTAAAAGCTGTTGACCACTCTTTCTGCCTGTGTCCACAGCAGTACTGTGGCAGTAGCCAGTGCTGGGGAGAGTTGACAGATGGCAATGTGAGGGCTTTGAGCTTTGAGAAGAAACTTCACACCCACTACATTGAAATGTATTCCAAAGTGTGCTCTCTTTATTTCTGTTACGTAACTGCTATTGCATCCAACACAATATCACTGTATTGTGTAGTCATCTACTATGACAGCCTGACTACAGGCTACGGAAAGAGCTGGACTGAGTACATGTTGACATTCTTCTGTCCCAGGCTGTCTCTTTATCATATTGCATGGGACTGATGTAGTAGAAGCTTCGTTTCCAATGGGATTCATTTTTCTTCCTATAAATATTTCATCAGTATGTGCCTGGCTGGTAAGCTTGGATGGCAAACATAGTCTGTTTTCATTTATGATTTAATTGTTAGTGATAGTGAGATGTAAACAATCACTGTGTTATTAGTATTGCTGTTAGATATTCAGCCTGCTAATGAGCTTTTTATTGCCTGATAATTTCCAGGTCCAAGTTCTTGAGTGACAAATGGATGATTCAGAAAGGGTTCATGACAGAAGAAGACCTTGTCAAAAAACCTTGGTAAGAATGTCGGATCCCTTTGGATCCTTATGAATCTCTTTAGCAACCCTCTTTATGGCAGTTGCTAATTTAAAGCTCACTGCAGTTTGTACTACTTCCTTTGTCTTTAGTAAATCTTTTGTGCTGCGGTGTTGGTGCATAACTGTGGCTATTTATTAAGTCTGCCTGAATTATTTAATATCTTTCTGGCAACAGAAGAAAATTTGATATTTATTAATTTTTGAATGAAAGGGGTTACGTCTGAAGTGAATGAGTAGTATCCAGAGAATCCTACCAACATCAAAGTTCTTGATGGCAAAGCATTACAATTCTGTAATTGTAATCCTCTCTCTGTAACCGAGAGAGGATATTCTATAACTTTCTACCTGTAATACCTGTAAATGTAACCCTTTAAGCAGGAGCCTGGAATTTTCTTTGTGAGATATAAATACTAGGTTCCCACGTTCGTTATTTTTCACTAATCATCTGTAATCCAGAGAATTACATAAAATAGGAGAAGTGTTTCAGTCTTGAAAACTTTCTCACACCTGAATGAATTTCTGATGCTGATGAAAGAACTGTAAAGCCTTGAAGCCTTTACTGGCTCTGGCACAATCTAAATTCTTCCTTGCAGGTTTTTGTCATTCCTGTAGTGGCAAATGCCATGGTAGGTGAGCAACTGGTTTTCTTCTCACCCTAAGGCTTGAATTGGTTTGGTTTTTATTTTGTCCCAGGTGGTGGAATGTCAGTGTTCAGGAGTTAAGCCTCTCAGCTCCCCTGACTGTGCTTCCAACTGTTACCTGTGCAAAGACTGTTGAAATTCTTCGGGAGAAGGGGTTCGACCAGGTACCAGTTGTTGATGAATCTGGGTATGTCCATGTATATCACTATTCATCCATACATATCACTTCTCTCAACAGGTCCCAAGGCTTGTCTTTAGATGTTGAATAGAAGTACAATAAATTCTTCCATTGTAGTAATGTTGTTCTTATAAGTTGTCTTAAATGTTGCCACACCAGTGGTAGTATGTTGTCATGCTGGGACTGTCCTGCCTTTCACGTTATAAGCTTCTAATGGTTGTTATGGTATGAAACTCTGTGCATCTCTGCATATTGGCTTCTTTGTTTTTATGACAGCTGTTGAACTTATCAAAACCAAATTGTTTAAAACAAACAATGCCCAACTTACCCGTCTTCCCCACAGCTTCCACCAATTTCTACAGAGCGTTGTATTACAATGTAATGAGGAGCTGACTCCCTATAAGCCAGTGTCCCAAGCAGATTGGTATGCTGTAGGTACCCTGTGCATCTGCTGTAAGGCAGTCTGAATAATGAACAGAGCTGCCCAGTTACATTCCAGTCACGGTGCTAACACAAGGGATTCCTTTTTACATTCATTGTAGTATGCTTGTAGGGTGAAGGAGAGTGAGCAAAATTGAGGAGAACATGACCTTGGCCTTGTCATACCTTTCAAAAGGAGAAATGAGGACATAGAACAGTCATGTCTGCTTTTCAAAAGCTCTCCAACTGCAGAAGCTGGAGGTCCTCTTTTGAGCTAGATTCTCAGAAAGGTCAGCCACCTACAGGATTCTGTGTGTTCCCAGCACTTCTGAGAACTGGGCTTCAGGTATCGCCTGCAGAAACACAGAATTCCTTCTGCAGGCTGCTGAGAGTGAGTGTTTTTATCTCTCAGAATGCTAAAGGCACTTGTACTGTTAGCTATATCTTATTTCTCTTATTTTCCAGGGTGATTTTGGGCATGGTTACTCTAGGTAACATGCTTTCTTCACTGCTTGCTGGAAAAGTTCAGCCTTCAGATGAAGTCAGCAAAGTAATCTACAAGCAATTCAAGCAGGTAAGCAACAATTCCTCATTCTCTGATATAAAGTACAACTGCAGGTGTCTTAACACTACAGTGGCAACAGATTGGGTTACCCAGGACCAGACAGAACAGCTGGTTTTGAGTGCAGACATGGACCCGTGTTAAATTCTGTCCTAGTTCACTTAGTAGCTCTTGGATTTGTGTTGTGGTCCTATATTGGGCTTTTCTATTAATTCAGTAGGCTTTCTTCTCCCATGCTTGTCCTTTATTCCCTGCCCAAAACCCAGCACTTGTCTAGGCAATTGACTCTCCAGCAGAAAAGACAGCAAGATATTGAAACAGCTCTTACTAAATAATTTCTGTATCGGCTGAAAAGGGAACTTCTTGCCTTCTTTATCAGGTGTCTTCCTAGAACAGGGATGGATGGCTGGATAGTGAAAGCTGTTGTTGTCAAAATATATGAATTTCACTGGTTTCACTTGCCCATGCAATATGGAGTGGCAGGAGATCACAATTTCCCAGATTTGATTGCTCTTCTAGAATGTATGAGTATTGTTGCTGTTGCTTTGCTTCACTTACAAAAGAAATATTTTCCTAACATAGAATGCTTAACTTAGCTTTCACCAGGTTTTCATTTTCAGTAGTCTTGCAGAATTCAGGAAGCACGTGTAATGCTGCCATTCAGTCCACAAACTACAGAATCCATGAAGTTGAGAGGAAATGCTAGCTTTATAGACCAAATGTAAATGTATTTTTTCCTTCCTAGGCAGATAATCAAGGATCAGGTGGAAATGTGGTGCGTAACAAAACTATTTGGTCAATGCTCTCCCTCACTTGGACACCTTAAAAGTTTCTGGGGCTGCTGTTGTGCACTCGCTTGTGTACCTACAGTGGTGTTAGCTCTAGTGGCCAATTCTCTGCACTTCTGAGGTTGTGGCTTTTTTCCATGGACAGCTTGAACTCTCTCATGCTTCTTCAGTATAGAACAGCTTACCCTTTTCTTTTCAGCTTTGATTTTTCTTGGTGGAGGATGGAGGGGGAGCAACACTAGAGCAGTAGTATTGCTAACATACTAACTTAAAAGCATCATTCTTCATTTATTTTCCATTTGAATTGATGGTTTGATGGTGAAACGTGGTTAAATGCACATAACCTCAGAAGTATTGTGAATTTTGCTTTCCTTACTGCTTTGATCAAGCTTATTTGGCTTGTTCACTGGTGAAATTAGGAGAACAGATCATCTGTGTCACTGAAATGATATACTGCAGCCAGGATCTGTACCACAGCATGCATCATTAAGAGATCCACTTAGCCTGTGAATGCCAAGGCAAAACTGTCTTTTAGCAGCATGGGAAACTCTGACACTTTCCTTTTACTATACCTAGTGGTTGTTAGCTCGTTTCTTGGTATGACTTTGGTCAATGTCCTAAACCATTTAATCATTAGCATCCTAAGTGGATGAGAGCCTCCTTTTAATTTATTTGTAGGGTCATGAATAATGCCATGTTACTTGCTCAGACAAGCAGTCCTAGTCATGTATAGCTTGGTAGCATGCATATAGGCTAATGTTGTAAGGACTTAAAAGATTTAAAAATAAAAACTAAAATGTTGGAGAACTCATGGGCAAAACATATTTAGGGAGATTGAATGAGTAGCAGTGAGACAGGTGAAAAAAGCACTGGAGTTCTGTCAGATTTCCATTAAAACTTCAAAATGTGCTTAGGTCTCCATAGCTGTCCTTGTACTGCTTATGGGCTGCTTGTCCTGGTCCTTTAGCTTACCTGGTCTCTCAAAACATGTTTACTGATACCACATGATGAGATGGCAAGAGGTTCTACTCTTTAGTGAGCTTTGAACCTAAATTCTAAAGCTAGGCTTTGAACCCAAATTTGCACAGAACTGCTTGTCAGTGATGGTTACTGATAGCTGACTTGACTTGGTAGTAAATCCAGGTTTCCCACCAGCCCTTGCCTTACACATAAGCTTAAGGATCAGTGCTTTTGTATGCACTATTGCCTGCTGGTCCATTAAGGACAGGCAGCAGGGAATTTCTCTCGGTATGGAAACCAGAGTTCTGTGCTCCAGTTGAGCCCAGCTGTTCATGCTGGTGATGTGTGTTTTTCAGTCACAAGTGGAGCTCACTGCAGAATAAAAGCTTTTTTAGTCTGTGGTAGAAGACTTACCTTTACTACAAATTAATTTAATCCCTGAAGTATGTCAGATAGTAGTTGTTGCTGGTAGTTGTGGAGTCACCTGGGTGATAGACTTGCTGCTGCTGCTGAGTACTTTAAAGCATTGAGGAAGAATAGTTTTGTGCGTTCTTTCAAAAGTTTCCAGCTGAGTGTTTCAGAAGGAGTGTTTTTTTTCTGCAGAACCAATGTGGAGTGCTTTCTTGTTTAGTCTTCTCAAAGTTGAACTGCTACAAATGAATTCTCGATTCTCAGTTTCTTGATTTGCACCTGGTCACAGTGCAGCTGAGCAATGTTCACCCTTGGTTTTGGATTGTTTGGGCTCTTCCCTGATCCCATTCTCAGATTGTATTCACTTCCACAATGATTATAATCTGATTCATTTGCTCATTCCCAATCTCACTGGAGTAAAATCACAAAGTATAATCTTGAGTTTTATGGAACACCTCTCGTTACACATGGAACACTTCTTTATCTTCTCCCTTTTCAGCTGTTCAGTATATTCATTATGCTTTCAGAATCAGAATGAAAATTTCATATACCGGTTTGTGTTTTGTTTGGTTTTCTTGGAAATTAGAGGTTAAAAAAAAAGGAAACTTTCTGATCTTTTAACTCAGCCTTGATTTGTTTGTGTTTTACAGTACTTTAGATGTGAGCACTCATGTACCGTTTTTAACACTAGATGGAGAATACGGTGATTATACGCTACTGGAAATATAAGGGGCTGTTTTATTTAAATTCTGTAACTCTCTCTTCAGATTAACCTGAAAGACAACTTGGGGAAGCTCTCTCATATTCTGGAAACAGACCACTTTGCTTTAGTGGTTCATGAACAAATTCAGTGTGAGTATGATATACTGCACCTTGAAAGATGCCATCTTTATAAGAGTGGTAATAAGAAGCAAATACAAGCAGTTCTATTACAATGAATGTCACAGGTTGACTACAATTTTTTTTTCCTTCTAAAGCAAAATCTTAAATTTAATGAAGATTAGTAAGAGCTTGATGTCAATGCTGACACCCTTTCTTTAAGCCAACATAATATGTGTAACTTATTCCCCTTCACCAGATACTTCTTTACTCCAAACTGTACTCTTTTCCATCCTTCTCAAAACTCTTTACACTGCTTTCTTTATGAACTGGAAATGACTGAAAAATCATTGAAGGTAGGTTATAGCACTGTTATACATAAATGAGAAACTAGACTAAAAACAATAACACAACTCACTAGATCTGTTTGGCTGACAGCTATGTCAGTTGTGACTGTAAATGAAGAACAGTCAACACATTTGAGCTTATTCCTATTGATCTCTCTCAACTCCGTGTTGACTAACATAACCTTGAATCTCACTGGAAGCTTGTAGTGAAACTAAGGCAAAGTGAATGACAAGTCCAAGACAATCCAGCTGTCTTAACAAACAGTATAAGTATGCCAAGCAACTCAGCACAGCCAAAGAAACAAGGAACTCTAGACCACAGATAAAGGGACAGAGGATGTTTCAGATCATTTGCTTCCCAGGTCAAAGGTTTATGGTCACAATGAAATATCTCCTGAACCTGTGCTTTCAGAGAAGCACTGTTCAGAGTGTTAATAAGGTTTTTGTAAATGCAAGGGTACTGTACTGTAATTTTCTGTTAACCCTGTATTTAATGGGGGCATTTGAGGGAGGTAGTGTTCCACGTCCTGCTCTAGTGACCCTTAGGTCAAACAACATGTTATCAGTTTGTAACCTGTTCAAGCAGAGTGGCAGAAACAAATGTATAAAGAAAGTGAGGCTCTATAACGAAAGATTTGGTTTGAATTTTCATGCTGAAATTAAGTATGATGAACTCCTATCCTTTCCATACTGCTTCAGTTTCCTGTGTTAAGGAGCCTTTCTGATATACAAAGGGACATCAGCAATGCTCTGGCTAGGATGACATGGGCTTTCCAAATGGTACCATTAAAGCCTGGTGGGATGGTGTATCTTTGTGCCTCCTAATGGCTGACATCCCCTTTTTGTTTCTTTGTAGATCACACTGATGGTTCCTCCAGTAAGCGACAAATGGTGTTTGGCATTGTTACGGCCATTGACCTGCTCAACTTTGTGACTGCGCGAGAACGGGAAAGAAAGATCAACTAAAGTCAAGGAGCAGTCGGGAACCTCTTCAGTAATATTTTGCAATCTCCAACAAAGAATCAGGTTTATTTCTTAGGTTGAATGGTCTGTTCTTAAGGTGTTTGTTTCGAAATTCTGAAAATAAGCAGTTAGCGATCCTGGTGTCAGCTATACAGCTAGTGCTTTCTACTCATTGCACAGTTTCTGGGAGTTTGTTTCTTAATCAAGTTACATGATATTTCTTAAGACAATTTATTTTTTTACCTATATATATGTGTGTAAAAATACTGCCTAAATTAACTGGTGTGTTCCTTACCTGTTGTGTCCAAAGCCTGGCTTTTCAAAAATATTGTCAGATGAATTAAATATGTTGAAAAGAGTTATAAAGCAGAAGTCTAAGAGCTCTGGAAGGCATTTTTTTAATGTGCAGGGTTGTTAAGTTAGACAATATAGCGTAGAAACAAAAACATGGAATTGGGCTGTGAAGAAGGGAGGAGGTGTTTCCCATTTGGTGACATCAATGTAAAATGGGAGCAAAGCTTGAGCGCAAGAGTTAAGGTTTGGTTCAACCAGCTCCTCTGAGACAGATCTGACTTGGCTGACAAATGAAAAATAGTGATTTGTTCTACACGGTGCACTAGCTTTCACTGCAAAGAGAGACCTTTCTCTTTTTCCAACTATACCTCAATAAGTAAGCATGGATGGAAAGGAAGAGAGCCTTTTTGCCCGAAGGTTGTTTAGAATGATGCTGTCACATCTAGGACCTTCCCCTCACTTTCCAGCCTCCTTTTTATCTATGTCTATGCCTATTTTAAAAAGCCAGAGGTAATTCAACAAGAGCTGTAAACTGTTTTTCAAGTCCTGTCCAAGTGCTCCCAGACTGCAACTCCTCATGGAAGGTGCAGTAGATGAGTGCATCAATGACTTCTGTAATTCTCTGGGTTTTTTGATTGTGTTTGACTTAGGTGACTGCAGGTTTTTTTTCCCTGAAGTGGGTGCCTGTATCTTCTGTTTACTTGTGCTGGTTAAGTACATGCTGACCATCAGCCTGGAAACTATTTTGCACATGGTTATTTATATAAACAATTTATGCTGTGTTTCTGTGTCACTGTAGGAGAATATCTGTCCTTTCGCTTTTCTTTACTCTGCAAGAATGCTTTTATTTTCTCACATGGAAACTTTTATCCGATAGAAGCTGTACATATTGCAAGGAGTTATCAAGCAAGAATGTGAGGATCATTTTGAAGTTGCAACAACCAATGTTACTTCCCACTTTTTCCACAAGCTATGACTGACTCCAGAACTCTTTGTAGCCAAGTTTCTTTTGAGTGCCCAGACCGGTCCCCTGCCCACCAAGTTGCTAAATGGTTTCTGGAAACTTCTGTTGTGAGTTTCGCATATTGTGCTCACCGTTAGCAGTTGCCTAGTACTGCCACTGTTGTCCAACAGCCTTTCTAACTGCATAGCATCAGCACACTACAATGACAAAGGGAAGACTTTTTATGTTTTAAGGAGCTGGGAAAAATTCATTGCACAGACATTTGCAATACGATGTGAAGAATTCAATAAAAGCTATTTGATTGCAGAATGGCTCTGTCTGGTTTGTTTATCAGTGGCAGTTCAAGCTGGAAGTATGTTAGACTGTAGGCTGTAAGAAATTTCTCAGGGCTCACTTTGTTACAGAATAGGGAAGGAAATAGGCAGAGCTACGGCTGAAATATGACTGAAGTTCCTACCGCAAAAGTTGCCAGCGTGGTCAATTGGATAGGTGTTTGTGAATGAATAGAAAGGGTAGGGGCTAGCCTGCCTGCTGTGAGGAGGCAAGGAGAAGGAGATTAAGGCTAATTTCCCAAGGTAAGAGATTTATAGATGTAAGTGCCAAGCAGGGGAACTGTACTGTGGATAAGGAGCTGCTGGCAGGAACCGGGAGGACTGCCTGTGTTTCAGAGCTATGTGTACGTGCCTCTGCTCAGCTCTGTCCCCTCTTGGCCAGTTGCTCAAGGTAAGCGAGAGTAAAGGCATTTTATATCTGTCAGGCAAGACTGTAAACCTTTCATCCCTTGGTTTGCAGTTCCCATTGCTTTGTCGGGTCAGCCCTTGCTCAAACATCTCCAAAACACATTTGGACCATGCCAGCCTATTCACTGGCATCTCGTTCCATCACCTGCAGGACGGAGAGGTGCAGGGTGGGCCTCCTCAGCATGCCTCAGATGCTGGGGCCATGCAGCATGAAGTTGCAGCTCCTTCATGAGTTTTTCAGTAGGAACGCCATCAGTCTGCCTTCTCTGGTGCAAAACGTGCTTTATCTCCAGCTTACTATCTATCTGGGGGGGGAAACAACCCAGCAGGTGAATGGTGCATGAACCACTCCATACACATCCCTTTCATATTGATTAGTCAAAATGCTGTCCTTGTCCACAGCAATTGTGGTTCATTGCCTAACCTTCAACTTTTCGTAGTCTACTGAGTTCGTGCCTTACCTTCACCTTTTGGCAGTCTACTGAGAAGCAAAAGTGGTTGTGATAGGCAAAAGGCCAGCATTGTTCCTTGCAAAGCATGGTGCGTGGTTCCAGCAGAAAGGCCAAAGGCTAATGGGACACGAAGAGCAGCTGGCAGCTTGTGGGATCAAGTTCCACTTTGGGAGTAGGCGAAAGGCGTTCTTGCCATGCTACTGCTCTGGCTGCGGTCCCAAGTGAGGAGCTGAGCTCTAACAAATGTGAGGTGCTCAGATGTTTTAGCCAGTGCAGCTATGCAAGTGCCAAAATTGCAGTGTGATGCTTGCTTCCCACGTCCATGGTGTGCCCAGAGGTTGCCCTGTCAGTACCAGCCCCTAGGTTTGGTTGTTGTAGGCAGTGACTTGCATGTACCCCAGGTCTGAACTTTTCTTGATGGCTGAGGCCTTGCCATGCCTGCACTATCCCTACGCTTGGGGCAGCCCCTCCTCATGGATCACAGACACAGGGAAAATTACTGGGTACAATCTTCGGTTCGGGCTCTGGAGATAACCAGAGGACTTCAGTCCGGAAAGCTGCCTTATGAAAGCAATAAATTCCCTTTGGGAAAGAAAAAAAAAAAAAAAGAAGAAAGAAAGAAAACACACGTGATACTAATGGAGGTGCCACTACCTTTTGCCAGTGCAAAGTAAAACCAAATCCATCTGAGCTTTGCTCATGGAATATTCCTTGAGGACGCTGTGTTTACCAGAAGTGTGCTGTTGGAGGGGGAGGTGGCTGTAAAAGGGCCTTGGGAGGATTTCCAGCCTTTAGCCTTCCCCAGAGAAACAAAGTGATAACGAACACAGCTAGGCTGCCTACCTCTGGGGCAGCATTTCTGTGGGAGGGGCAAGTGGGCTTCCCTTCAGCTGAACAGGAGCTGCCCTGGCCCTCTGGGGTCAGTCAGGGGCTGAAGCCACAGGCGAGAGAAGGCTTTGGGCTCTGGTTCTGTCCCCTGCCACTGCCATCCTCATCTGCCTGCCCCAGGTCATGCCCTCAGAGGCTGGAGAGGGAGTATGAGGGGTGAGGAGAGGTGATGTGGAAGGGAAGATGGTGAGTATGGTAATATGGCTCCAGGCTGGCCAAGAGGAAGGAGAAGGATGGGGTCAGGATAAGAGTGAAGACAAGCAGAGGATGCAGGTGGCTGAATTCCACTTTGGGAACAACCAGAATTCTTAGACCTGGAAGAGACCCTTAAAGGCCATCCAGTCCATGTCCCTGCAATGAATAGAGACATCCATAGCTAGATCAGGTTGCCCTGAGCCTGAACCTGGGATTCAGCCATCTTTGTACCAGGCCTGAATGCCTGCCCAGAGGCTGTGGGCTGGCCTGAGGCCAGCTCAAAAGGGCTCGTGCCCTAAGGACTGGCCTGTACTTCCCTCAGAGTCAACAGGGAATGTGGGAGAACACATGGCTAAGCCCAGCTGCTGCTTTACTCCATGCTGAGCAGGATGGATTGCTCAGTGCTATTGCTGGAGGACAGCGAGGGACGTGAGTAGCGACGCGGCCATGAGAAGAAGAACCTGTTATTCCCTCTGAGGGGGAAATTCACTTGTGGCCTATGCACTCCTGTGTTATTCTTATGAAAATAGTATGTAGAAATCCAAGCACAAGTGCTGTATACACTGCAGGGTGCACTGTTCTTTCAGTAGCTAACAATACGTCACAGCTTCTTCTAACAGATGAATGTTCTTTCACACACAGGCCCACTCCCAGGCTTTGGAAAGCAGCCTCCTCTGTTAGTGGCAACCAGCTGCATCTATATAACCAATTGGTCTGTATGCCTGTCTGTGCAGACCACCTCAGGAGTTCATGCATGGTATAACATGTGATAGATACTTCATGGTCTATGATTCTATATTAGTTCTATGATAAGCGTGGCCAGCAGGGTGAGGGAGGTGATGCTGCCCCTCTGCTTTGCACTGATGAGACCTCAGCTGGAGCACTGCATCCAGACGGGGAGTCCTCAGTACAGGAGAGACATGGAGCTGTTGGAGTGTGTCCAGAGGAGGGCCACAAAAATGATCCAAGGGATGGAACATACCTCCCTATGAGGACAGGCTGAGAGAACAGGCTGTTCATCCTGGAGAAGAGAATGCCCCGGGGAGACCTGAGACTACCTTGCTCCCTTTGCCTAGCTCCCTTTTTATGGCTGACTGGTTCTCACCGGTCACTGTTTCTGGACCTGAGGACAACACAGTTCATGAGCAGGATCCTGTGAGGCCAAAGCTGCAATGTAACCATTCTGACAAAATACATGGTGGTGTGAGTCTGTTGTGGCAGTTTTGTATTTCACCCTTGTGGGTTTCTTTAGCTCAACACATTTTTATTGTGTTTACACTCTGTCGAGTTCCCAGCAGTAATATGACAGGGATAGCAGTGCAGACCCCCAGCCAGTTTCCCATGAGCAACTTCTTCTGTTCTCAGCTAAGGCACAAACAGAGCACAAAAGCCAAGTCAAAGAGCCTGTTGTGCTCAAGATGGTTGACTTTTAAAAATCAGACTCAATCCAAAAAACACTTATGCAAATATCTGCTTTGTTTTAGGCTGAAAAGTTCTCCATTTCTTTCAGTTTGGTCACTGACAAAACTTTTTTTTTAACGTGGCTTCAAACACATGCTGCTTCAGACGGCGGCCAGGGAGAGGTGCCTGGGTTATTCTGTAACTGCGGTACCCAGCAAACATGTCCCTTACCAGGGTTAGGGCTATTTGCAGCTTCTTTATGAGAGATCTACACGATCTACGTCACATCAGATAGCCCACAAGATCCTTCTACAATGGATTACCTCTGGCAATGTTTTCCAGAGATTTCATTTATTGCAAAAAGACCAAAGGTAATGCCATTCCTGTGCTAATAACTAAAATAGTCTGGGTTTTGGAAAAGTTTCCAGGATAAGCATTCCTATAGGCATTATTCTGGCTTGACTATAGCAGTGTAGCTTCCTCCACCACTGTGTTGTGGGGAGCAGGGCACAGTGGTGAGAAGCAGAAGGGAAAGGGGAGACCTAATCCCTCCTAAGGGAAGAATTCTCACTCATCTAGGAGATATGCACCTAGATGATCTTTCACAGTGGCCCCAGCCAGCATTTGGGAATCACTGTAGAGTAGAAGAAATGTCTCAGGCAACTTACTCGTAAAGCCATTGATCAGGAACAGAGAGGTGTAGGGCTGGAGGCTGCATGAAGACTAACCCGGGTTCCTGGGTTAAATGACATGTCTTTGCTGTCATTGCTAATGCCTGATTCAGCAAGGTACATGCTGACGTAGACTATACCTGAATTGAAGCAGCAGTCTAAGGCACAAAAAGAGATCAGAAACCACGTTTTGAATCGACCACAGCATTGCTGGGGGTTGAGCTGCAATCGCTTCTGAAGATAAGTATGAATTAAAATACAATAAATTGTTTATCTTTTTTATGTCCCAATCATTTATGATCAGAGAGTAATCAGATTCTGGGCATAATTAGGCATGGGGTGGGACCCAATCAGCATCATCTCTACAGAGCGCTCTGCTGTCGCTCATTGGTGTTCACTATCAGAGGGCACATATAAGCTTGGAGCTGGAGCACAGTGAGAGCACTCGGACAGTACACTGCAGGTGGTGAGTATGGTTTATCTCTTACTGAGCGTGCTTCTTTTATAATGGTAAAGTACATGGGAGCCATGCGTACTAGCCAGGTAGTTGTTACCATGAAAAGGCTTGAAAGGAAGATTCTGGTGGCCTCTGCTTCTGAGCCTGATCAAAGTTTAACTCTGACCCGGGGAGTGTCTGTGCTTTCAGCAAGCTCTGAGTAAGTCTGCAAAGCAGGGAGGCTCTGTCTTTAATGCCACACGGCCAGCTCAGCTGGGTGATGGAGCAGGCTGTCTGCAGAGCCTGTGCAGTCTCCATCCTTGGAGGTCTACAAGACCCAAGAGGACCCAGCGCTGAACCTGTGGGAGCAGGCAGCCGAGCTGGGGACTTCCCGAGGTCCCTTCCAGCCTAAGTCCCTCTGCGATTCTTTTGAACTGATGCTGCATTTGTCTTGCTCAGTGAGAGCAGTAGCACTTCTAAAAAATAAAGCAAGAAATTAGCAGGTTCCTTTGAGCAGAGAAAGTTCACATAGATTCTCTCTGTGCTGCTAAGTTCCCATTCTTCCTCAAACTGCTTTGAAGTATCTCAGCCTTCTTCTTGTTTAAGTTATCAGTACAGTCTGATAACTTAATAAACACAATCTTTTATCTGCAAAGTACTCTATAAATATTAGCCTATGATCTTTGTCATATTATTTCAGTAAGTGACAGCAGCTGAATGTTACCATGCCCTGCCTCTTGGATTGCTTCCAACTCCATGGATATTTCCATTATCTCTTGCACATTCTGTCCAGGCTTTCTAATTGGATGTATTGCACTCTGAAGAGACTTGGGGGCTAATATGAGACACCTACAACAGGACACATTTGACAGCTGGTCAAATAATAGCTGAGATAAGAGTTAGGGATATAGATAAGATTTCTGGTGAACAAGAGAAACATTGCTCTGTTTTGTGATGGAAGGTGACTTGAAACCACTTTGAAAGCAGTGTGGGGAGATGTTTGCATTGGACATTGCTCTTTTCAGTATTGCTCAGCTGCAGACCTTCCACAGAGGTCCGTCCCAACACCCTCCCTGTCCATGCTTCTCAACCAAGCAAGCACGTTAGCAGGATGAAACTGCTGAACTAAGCAGGAGAGTGGCTCCTTGATGTTGTGTCAGGCCTTAGAGAGATAGAGGGAAGGTCAAGCTTCAGGTTGTCTGCAATCTTGCATAGATGTTACTGAGGTTCCTGTGCTTCAGGCTTCAATTTCAGTTTCAGAACTACAGTAGTTTTGGATGTATCTTAACTTCAGTATACTAATCCAGATTCTGGGCACAGCTGGGCAGAGATTTTGGAATGATTCCAGGTTGGCAGGATGTCTGTTCTACAGCACTGCACAAGGAATTAACTAGCTTTTGAGAAGATAAATGACGAATCCTCCATCAGTAAGGAATGTAGATGTTGATATAGTCAAGGGGCAGGTTTTGGTACTTTGTTCTCTGGTCATCTAGAAAATACATCCGACTCTACTTTGGGTGACTGAATAAATAGAAATCCCATTCCTCGTGTTTTCTTTCAGGATGTCAAGGCAGCTGAACATAACCAGCCAAATGTGACCTTAGTTTAAAAAGCGTAATGCTCTGCCCTCCATGTGGTTCTGTACTTGGCATCTCAGCACAACATGTAGTCTCTGAGACTCAGTTTTAGGGCAGGCTTAGCTGCTCTTAGCAGACACCCTGGGGCTTGTGGCACTTCTTGTGGTAAGGAGCTGAGAGACTACAGATCCCAGGTTGCTGTCCAGGGGGGAAGAAGGGCAGCTGAGCAGGTCACCTGCCTTGACCTAAGGCACCTACATCCGGATCGGTGATATTATGGGTGATATTGGCTCCTCATATGCTCAGGTGAAACATAAAATCTCTGGGACTAGCCACTTAAACTGGATGTGCAAACCTGGATTGTATGCCTGCATGGAGGGAGGCAG